AAACATTATTCTCAAACGCACATGGAACATTCTCCACAAGGGATCATCTATGAGACTGTGAAAGTCTCAGTAGCATTAAAGGACAGATATCATACACTGCATGCTATTCAACCACAACATAGTGAAGACAGGAATCACTGACAGAAAAATACTTGGAAAATTCACAAATACGTGCTAATTAAACAACATGCTACTGAAGAATTCATGATAAGAAAAAAATCAACAACCAAAATTAGAAAATGCTTTGAGATGAATGAAAATGAAAGAAGCAAACCTTTATGGGATGCAGTGACATCAGTACTAAAAAGGAAATTCATTGTTTAATTCTGCATCAGCACAGAAAAACAATTTCAAATGAGGAACTTACCTTCCAGTAAATAAACTTGAAAAAATAAAAGTAAATTAAGTTCTATGTGAGTAGGAAGAAAAGAAAATTTTAAATGCAATCAGTAACAGCAAATGTTTCATAGAACAAGTATAAATGTTAACATTTTTCATGGATATGATACAAACAAGAAAACAGTAAACTTCAATCTTAAAAGTAATAAGATCAGGGGCTGGGGATTTAGTTCAGCTGCATAAGCGCCTGCCTTGCAAGCCCGTGGTTGTAATTTCGATCCCTGGTACCGGCAAAAAAAAAAAAAAAAAAAAATTTAAAATAAAAAAAAAAAGTAATAAGTTCACCAACTCTGTGTCCAACAAAAAGACTTACAAAATGAAGGAGAAATAAAAGATGAGAGACATACAAAAGAAGATGGAATCCATGCAATCTTATATGAGAGCTTAGTGTTCTATTTTGTTCTGAAGATGTAAGCTTTTTATTTTACTTTAAAAATCAACTGTGCTGTTAAATGTGTTGCACTTTTATTAATTAGCTTTTACTAATTTAATTTCTTAGTGGAAATATTGAAGGCTTCATCTGTTAGGCCAAACCGAGGTGCAACCAAGACCACTGAGGCCAGCAAAGCTGAAGCAATGTTCAAGGACTTCATTACTTACCCCTTGTACTTGGGCCAAGGGCAAAAAGACTATTGGCCCTGAGTGAGGGGTGAGAACCTGTTATTATAGGGGAGTTTAGGTAGGAGAGGGATGTATTGTAGGGGGGGTTGCAAAATTGTGGGTCTCTGAGTAAAGGATCTAAGCCTAGGTGATAGATAGGGTACAGGGGATGCTGGGAGGCACAATGTGTCTCTTGTAGTTTGTCATGGAACCAGCTCTTTGCGGGCTGAGCTGAGTGGGGACAGACCACTGCTGGCCTCCTATTGGCTTTCAGCCATGCTCTCCTGGGTGCAAATAACAGATCTGTTTGGGGGAGTTTTTTCTCTCCTAGTAGGGCAGGGCTCTAATTCAGAGATCTGACAGGATCTTTAGCATCTAAAGCCACAGAAGAGCCAACAAACAGACTAGGAGGAAGGTTGTGACCAAGAAGGAAGAGACTGGAAAACTTTACCTGATAATATGATCTCAGAATATCATAGACACTGGTACCAGCCATTTCCTGATAATATATATTCTTGGGTTTCTCCCCAGGAGATTATTTCAGAGAGAACTTTAGCCAAATTAGTCTAAAGAAAACTTCTATGCCAGATGGTATCATTCTACCAACTTCACTTGCCTGAGGATTTATCTACCCAATGCATATTCATAGAACTACAGAGCTTGGGATATGTATTCAACAAGCTCTGGAAGACCAGCTCATATAAAAACATTACAATAAAATGACTCATGAAAAAGCTCAGGTATTTAATGCAAGCTAATAAAAAGAGTTAACTCTAAAATGTGACACACTTATAAAGGTTATATTAAATATAATTCATAAGCACCACTTATTAAGATTGCCTAATAAGGGGCTGGAGATTTAGCTCAGCGGCATAAGTGCCTGCCTTGCAAGCAGGCAGTCGTGAGTTCGATCCCTGGTACCAATGAAAACAAAAAAGACCAAAAAAAAAGATTGCCTAATAAACACATAGTACAATATTTATATACCTCCAAACATGTATAACACTAACTTGAAGAATGTGTGTTACTGTAACTGTTCCTGTTTGTCTGATTTCCATTTCATTGTGAAGGTGGGATAAATGTCTAAGGATTTATGGTTATAATATTAAAAACTCAAAATATATGCAGACAGACAATGGGAGACAGAAGGTGAGCAGGTGGTGATGGCAGGGAAGAGAGGACACAGAAGGAAATCCCTACCATGTTGGGGGAAGCTCTCTTTCAAAGGAGACTTGTGGACAACAAGGTGAAGGAAAGGGTAATTTGCAACCAAAGCTCACAGGAGACAGGTGGATAACAAAGTCATGAACTGGGTGAGTTAAGGACAATGGGAGGATTCAGGCCTGTGACACATAGTAGAGCACACTAATATTCCAAATTTAAAAAGAAAAAAGAATTATCCATGACTACAGGTGTCTTTCCTGGGTGCCAGGCCACACTTCTCTGCTCATCACCAAGTAGGCAAGTACCCAACACCTGGAGCGAGATTTAAATGTCACATTCAAAGTCTCATCTAATGAATTATTCATTATTTACTCTATAAGTTATTATTATTCATATATATTGTGTACCTATGATAAGCTAGAAGTTGCTGGGTACAAAGAAAATAGTCTAATATCTACACACTTTTATTATTTTACCAAGAAATGTTTATTTTAATTTCTGATTTATCTCTCAATCTGAGTCCATCTTTTATGGCTGTGGTTGGCAGAACCTTTCATCAGTTCCCCTATACCTCTGCCAGTCCTAGTAGATACTGTGCCTCCCAAAGGGGCCCCATTGGGCACTGTCCCCTCCCTAATTGCTGGCCCTGCATTCTTTCTCCATTTTCCTGATTGTGTCCTCATAGCTGGCTCTGCCATCCTAACCTGACGGATGTGTCAAACTCTTTCATTTCTTGCCCAGGACTCAGTGTGAAATTTCAGAATCCCCAGCTCTGACCACCACCTTGAGTGCTGGGTGCTTAAAAAAAAATGGATTCCAAGTTAGTCTAGCTAGAGATGGACATTAGCAAAGACCTTTCTAATGGGGGAGACTGTTCTTTGGGGATGATTCAAATGTGCAGCTTCTTCCCTTCTGGGATTTGGCATCTTCAACACACAGCTCTCAGGCATGGGCCATGACGATCTCTAATCTCTTCTCCACCTCCTGCCTCACACAGATCTCAAACCCTGCCTATTCCAGATGGGGACATCCCAGGTCGTGGTGCCTCCCTGCTTTATATCTTGTAGCCTAAGGCCTGCCCAAGGCTCACGAGGAGGCCCATTGACCATGGGACGCTGGACACATGCAGAACCCCACAATGAAGGGAGCACAGAGGAGGAGCAGGCTAATATTCTCAGGATTCATCTGGAATGGGAGATGTCCTGTCCATCGCCAAAAAACTGACCCCTGGTGACAGCCTTGAAAAAGCCTTCCAGTGCCACTCCAGGATGTCAGTGCTCTGCTAAAACCTGTCACCTGTGTCCTTTTTGTCAGGAGAAGGCTGGTTGCTGGCAAGTTAGGAGACACTCTAAGAGGTTCTGAAGTGGTGCAGGGGTCCAGATCTGCTGGTCTAAGGGGAGTCTCAGACATTAATGACAACTCTTCTTTCTCACCTCTGAAAGGGGATCCAAACTTTTCTGGAATAACAAGGGCCAGAAAAGGGATGACCTAAACCCACGGTCCCTCAGGCATTAAGTGATGGTGGACAAACACCTTATTATTCTTCCTTAACTTCTTCTAACTCAATTTCTAATTTTATCTCTATTCCACCCTCCATTTGGTTCCCCCAGAGCTATCTCATTCATTTTCTAAAAGCATTTTCTGTAGTTAAGTGCTTATTTTAGTTTCCAATGTAAGGGTTTAAAGACAGTACATCTTCTGAGCATAATTCTCCAGCATCTGCCCATGGTAGAAAGGGTTCCTTTTTCTTGGCAAGACCACACTTGCAAAAGGTAAGACCACCGGACACTGTCCATCAGTTTAAACTTCTTCTAGGCTGCAAAAGTAAAGGAACTTTGAGGTCTCAGTAATGGTAGTTCAGGAAACATGAGTTTAGGTATTACTGAATCAGCAAAAATATAGTGTACGTGTCTGATGAAATGAGTATTTAAACAGAAAGCAATGTCTCTGAGACGAGACTGTTCTACCTTCTTTATGTACTAGGCACAAGGGACAGATTTAACTGTCTTATTGTAACTGAATTGGAAAGTTTTTCTCTTATTGTAATCATTGGGAAATGAATAATCAGGTCAGGAAGCAGGCAGGAAAGTTTATTCAATGGCCAATACTCACATTCCCCAGCAGTCCTAGGTTTAGATTTTCAGTAAGAGTTAGATATTAGGGAGCTTTTAGTGGGAAGGGCAGAAGATTGTTAGAAACCAGCATGCCCCTTTTGTTCTTCCCTTACTTGGGCATGGAAACATCTAGAATAGTGTGGGTGTGTTTCATCATTACTGTAATCTCATTCTATATATTGTCTTATATTTTGCTTTTATAATCTCAGGATGCTCTGGAGTGTTAGCACGCCCACCCAAAACAATCAAGCTTTCAACCTGGCCCTTGGGAGTATGTGCTAAATCCATGCTCCACGGTAGGCAGTTGGAACATGTGGTTATCAACACCCAGGCTTTACCTTTTAAAAGCAACAGAAATCTGACTGGCAGAACAATGGGCTATAAGTATTTTTGAGGTTCAGTACTGTGACACATTTTTTTTCAGGTGACTACAGAAATGGAAGTAGAGGCAACGGCCAGACACCAGTAAGAATTTTGAATAAGCACTGCTTGCTGAAAAGCTTGCACCACTTGTTCTCCTTTTATTTTCACAAGACCAAGAGTAGAAAATGCATCTGTAACTGGTGGTTCTGCACAAAGGGAAACTTCTCAGTTACACAGTGAAGCCAGTGTGTTAGAATTAAGAGGACAGAACACTGAGGTGCAAGGGAAACCTGTTTTTCTTCAGTCATCTTAACTTCTCCATATGGGACTTATACACTAGACTAGCAAAAGACACATAACAAGAGAACAACAAACAGGAATTTATTAACATGTGCATTAGACATATACAGGGGAATACTCAAGGGATAAGCAATGAGAAGTTGGGCTAGAAGTTGGACTACAGAGCACTTTAACAAAAGAAAATACATTATTGGCGAAGTAATAAGGAAAAAGAAAGACTTTATGTTTCTTGGGTGATAAATTGTGGGAGAGCAAATATATAAGGAAGCTAATGGTAGGTGAAGCTTGTTTTATTTTTATAAGATTTGTAACGAAGTTTCCTCTGATCCTGATGCCAAGCTGGACTCTGGTGATTAACATCTGTACTTTTTTTAGGTTGGAAATCTTCACAAACTTAGCTCCTATATTTAGGGAGAGGGAAGGGGAGGGGAAGAGAAGTGGAGGAGGGGAGGAAGAGGGGAAGGAGCAGAAGGAAATCGGGAGGGGGAGAGGGAAGGGAGAAGGAGAGAGATAGGGCTTTTACTGATTCTCTGTTCCTCAGTTGTTTCCAGCTCAAAATAATCCAGTGCTGAAGTGGTATCTGTCAGAGAAACATATTAGGGGACCCTTTACCTGGTACTCACAACCTAGCCTCTACCAGCTTGACCAGAAAGACGTCTTACATTGCGAGCTTGGCAGGCAGATCTCTTTGAGCAGAGATGGAAGCCCTAGCACACCTCTGACATCTAGAAACATCTCTGGCTTCATTACTCCTGTTCTGACAGAGATGCCACCAGAGGACTTCAACAATATTCACAAACCTCAATTTTACATCAGCAACAAATTATTGTAATATTTAGTGACTTCGGAGTTTAGTCATCAATCCTAATGTTATTTGTCTTTTTGCTGACTTCACTATGGCTCTGTCATTAGCTCATTTACATAAGACCACATAAAACTGACTGATTTCAGTTTTCATGATAAACCTACTATTGAGTTAAATACTAGTTTGCCATATCTGAATCATAACAAGAACTGCTGATAATTATTCCACCAAATACTATTTACTGAAATTTAAATATATTTCAAAACAGGTAGCTGGAGCAAAATCTTGAAAATGCCAACTTTTTGTCTTTTCCAGAATTAAGTCTCCTATGAAAATCAATTACTTAGTCACATGCCATGTTCCATTCAAAGCATCTCTTCAGTAAATTGAGCTTTTCTCTTCTCTCTGATACTAGTGATTTCTAAGGGAAGCTCATTAGATCTAGCAGATCCTAGGATTTTACTAAATATTATTAATCAACATGTCCATGTTTGAGGAAGCCACTGCTATTTTGATTTTCCTGCTCTTTCTTGGAGTGACTTCTTTCATTCCCCATACTCTAGTCCAAATAGCCTCAGAGTTACCCACGTTATCAACTGATAATGACCAGGAATCAGAGAACTGAACCTAGTGGAGAGAGATCAGAGGATGTCAGTTCATCATATTATCCTGTTTTCCTTTCAATCAGAATACCATCTGTGGTACTTTTATAGTCTTTACAGCCATTAATCCATACCAATTGCTTATCTTCTAAAAATCCAGCTCTATGCTAGGTACTGAAAAAATAGTAGGGAAGAAAATTTTCCATCAGTTTAAAACAAGGAGATTTTACTTTGTCTATTCACTGCATGAAGGCAGGAACAAAGGTGAGTACTGATAAACCTGGAAATAGGGCCGCAGAGTACCAGAGAAGGAAGCCTTGGGGAAGGTGAAGATGTGGGAGCCAGAGGTCATGTTGTAGAAGGACACAGCTCCAGCCTCATAGTCCAGAGCAACCCCCACCACCAGGGGGCGCTCACGCAGCTCAAGGGCAGTGTGCGGAGAGGTCAGTGCTACATAGCCATTCTGTGTGCACCGTCGGACGGCCCAGAATCCCAGCTCAGGTGCCTGCTTCATGTTGGGGCCCCGCTCCACATTTTCCATACAGACTCCCACATCCCAAGCTGTTCCTTCTCCAACATCCACTTCGAAGAAATGTCTTCCTGAGCTGAAGCCCTCACAGCCTAGCACGCAGGGGAAGGCAGTAAATCTCCTGGAAGAGACTTCAGCATTCTGCTGGCTGCATCCCCGAGACACTTGTCTCCGATCCTTAGACAGAGTCAGGGCAGGATGTGCTGTATTTGGATCCAGAGTCACACCAACTGCAAAAATCAACCCACACGAAGCAAAGACACAAGTAATGAGAATCATGAGTATTTCGGTCACCGAGAATACAATTTAACAAAACCCAGCCCATGCCTACATTCAATCTTTTCTTTTCTTACCAGGGACATGAGTTAAGTATAACATGACTATCATATATGTTTCAGAGAAGGGTGAGGAGAATCTAAGGAGTTCATGTTTCCCTAGTGTTTAACAAAATTCTTTGGACATAGTAAGCTCCTAATACGGTGCCATAATGATAATATCCTCCATGTCTTCATGTTCATCAGCCTTATTTAGTCTTTCAGAGACACCAAGGACCAAATGGAATATAATTCCTGTCCTATCCAAAGCTACTCTGCTGCCCTGTAAACCTTCAGGAATGAGGCAACTGAATAGCCAAAGGGAGCCCTTCCCATCTCCACTTCATAACCACAGAGACATGCAAGAAGAAAGTATGTACAAAAAGTATAACTGAAAAGTCAAATTGTCAATATACATATACATCAATGTATACGTTATATACATATAACATCATATGTATATTTAACGTGTGTTTATAGAACAGAATATATATGTTTTGCTGTTTTTTGGATTTCGTAATGTAGCCCAGGCTGACCTCAACCTTATGATTCTCTTTCCTCTGTCTCCTTAGTGCTGAGATTATAGATGTGTACACCAAAATTCACTAACAGCCAGTCTTTTCTATATTAATATATGCTATTTGTAATGTATGGTATATAGTATACTATATCAAAGATATGTAATCCTTCTTTATTTCAGATATGTCAAAGTTTGGTTCAATATACTGCATGTTGTCAAAAGTATAGATTTCTCGGTCTTCACATATAGTAAAAAGACTGGTGAGATGATTTTGTTATCAAAAAGACACGATCAAGCTTTGCTGCAAACAGAATGTGTCACAACAGAAAAGCGGAGCATTGAGTAAGTAAAAGGACAGGGATGTGTTCCTAGAGCTGCATTAAAATGTACAGCCTCACTTTCTCCCTGAGCAAATCAGAGTGTAAGACTCTCTCCACCTACCTACCGACTGGCACCACCATCACAATATGATCATAATGCTCTCATACTACAATTGGCAGCTAATTTTTTTTACTTACTTTTATGATACCAGGATTCCTCTTTGCCCAAAGGGTTATATTTATGTTAACTTCTTCACATAACCATCTGTTATCTGCCAACATGATGGCAGCACAATGAGGATTCACACTTTATCTTCAAGTTGGGGTGTAATAGCTGTATTATATTATGTATAATATAATGCATATATTATGTGTATTTATAAATTTTGTTTACCCTGAGAACACAAACTGGGATTTAAAATGTCAAGTCACCAAACTTTGGGATCACAGGAAAGGTCCCACAGTGTGTTATAATGAACACAACAGACTTACTTACTAATGATTGAGCTCTCTGGAAACAAGTCACAAACAGAGGAAAATATACCTACCTTAAACTGAATCTTTATCAAAAAGAGAATGAAAGCATACAGCACCACTCACATATTAGAAGAAACTGCCAAGAATCAATAAGGAAAGAACCCAATAAAAATTCTCAAACAACCCAAAATCTCAAACCACAGAAAATCAGGAATAAATCACAAAAGCTTGCTGGGCTGATAGTCATAGCAAGCAAACCTCAATCAAATAGTAAAACTGAAGCAAGTAAAATAACGTGCAAACAGAAGTGTCAGTTTAAAGCCATCAGATAAGTGTGTCCATGCTTTGCACCCCTCCAGTGCATCCTGGAGGGTGGACCAGCTGGAAGAGTAAAAAACTGATGAGAACCCTAAGACTAGGACAACAACCCAGTACACAGATGCACGCACACCTCTGGAGGGTGAAGTAATCAGTGAGGTCATTAACGTGCAAGCATCTGAAGCAGGAGCGAGGAAAAGCAGTTGAACTTGGGAGAACTGACAGAAGACCAGGCCCAGCCCCCACATCTAGAGGCCAAGATCGGCTCCATATCCAGCACATCTCTGGGACACAACATGGACACTATCACAGAAATGTAAACCCCAGAAGAAGACAGTTACTTGGGATAGCTATAAAGAACCAACTACATCTAGAAGACATCCCTGAGGAAAAGATATTTCCTTTCCTCCTTAAGAGAGGCCTCAGTGTTCTTGGTAGAGCTATGTATCATGAGAGGTTGGTGGGCATTAACATAGAAGACAAAAATAAAGATAAAGAAAAAAGAGGAAGTGGAGAATGGCAAGACACAGATGTGGGTGATGGCCCCAGAACCACAACCTCCCAAGAGAGGCCTGGAACTCAGTAAAACAGATGAAGTTGGAAGGCTGGAACTTTCTGAAATGATAACAACAGAAATGAAAAATCAAGTAGAAAAGGCTACAGACAAAATCATCTCTCAGACACAGAATGAAACGATGCTTAAAAGCAATGATATCAGAGAATACATCAATAAAAGAACAGATGAGATTAGAAAAAATGGAAACAAAAATTCCCAACATAGGAGAGAGATGGAATCCATGAAGCCGATACAAAAAAGGGACCTAGGAGATTAAAACCCCTGTTGAAAGTATATGCAACAGATTGAACAAAAGAAAGGATAGAATTTCATATATTGAAGATAGTTGCAGCTAGTGATCATGGAAAGAAAGATAACTTAAAGATAGCAAAAGACCATAAGAAATCAACTACAAAATGAAGCAAAGAAGATTAACACAGAGTGACTGGGGTCAGTGAGAAAGCTGGAGACAGCACAAGTGCCGTAACAACCATAAATACATATGTACCTAATACAGGAGCACCCAGCTATGTAAGACAGTTATTGGTACACATGGAAAATCAAATAAGCAATAGCACAATTGTAACAGGAAACCTCAATGCCCCCTTGTCACAGAGAGACAGATAAATCAGACAGAAAATCAGCAAAGAAATATCAGAGCTGATATCAAACCTGTGAAAAAATGAACTTAATAGGAAGAAGCCATGCTCCAAAGTCCTGCTGCCATTGGGAGAGCATCAGTGAACCACTGCTCCATGCCTCTCCACAATTCCAGGAACTCTGGATCAGAGGAACACAGGTGCCTAGTCCAATCTCTTACACCCAGGGACTGGCCACAAATTCAGAAAACACCTGGGATTTAGCAATGGGTTGATTCAGAGAAACACAGGAAAATGTCAAAACAAAGGATAAAAATATAATCTCAGACCTCCAACCCACACAGAACAAGTTCAGGAGACATAGATACAGTAGAAATTAGAAGTCATACACCTGAAATGTCTCAAAAGATAACAACTGAAGTAAAGAAGCAACTTAGTTCTTGTATTGTTTGGTTAATTTTACATGCCTGTGTCTGACAGTCTGAACAACTACTTTGAAGATAACAAGAAGCATTTTGGTAGTCATTATTACTTTCCTGTTATCTTGTTTTGAAGTCCTATATTGTTTTCATTGTCTTGTTTAGTTTGGGTTTATTCTTTTTTGTTTTGTTTGATTTTATTATGTCTTATGGTATGGGCAACTATTTTGAAGACGACAAGATATATTATGGTAGCCATTGTTGGTTTCCTAATATCTTGAAGTCCTGTATTGCTTCCATTGTTTTGTTTTATTTGGCTTTATTATGTTTCATTTGTTTGATTTTATTCACTTTAAAACAAAATTTAAAATAATAATAACAAAAAATCCATCAGATAGGCAAACTTATCAACTCCACACAGCAAACAGGGAATATGTGGAATAGTGGGAATTCTGCTGCTGGGGAACAGAGGGGTAATCTCATCCTTTGTGGGACTTAGGAGTGGTAAGACATATATCCAAAATGTGAGCACTTTTACTTTAAGATCCTGGTTTCTAAAGGGCATCTCCTCCCTGTAGGGTTTAAGGTAGAATCATGTGACCAAGGTTTCACCTATTTCTGCAGCATAGGTATATTCAAAGTATGTGGGATAAAGGAGGGATCTGAGAAGCCTTACATAGTGCAGTTGATATTCTAGTCATTGGAGATGGACAAGAGAGAGGACTGATCTAGTGTTCATCCCTTTGTTTTGGCTTTATATTTTGCATGTATTTATTTTTGTTTTGTTATTGTTGTTTCAGGATTTGTGGCTGAACATAACTTTATTTTTTTCTTACAACTATTCATTTCAACTTTAAAAAAAACTTAGAATTTAAATACTTTCTGGAACATCACACACAACTCTGTCCTTACTACTTAGGATCTTTCAAATAAAACATTACATATTTTGACACCCTGTATTCCTTTTTAAAATAAAAACTATGAAGCAATTAAGCTGTAAACACCAACTACATTACACATGATTGTGGTGCAGCTTACAATATAGCACCAACAGTGCTATATTGCAGATCATTTCCCGCCTGGCATTCACTTTAGTAAGACCAATACTATCTCTACGAGAGCAGGATCGCTGGCTGTGAATGTTCTTTAATGCTTGAAGAATGGAAACGCTGCTCTTACATGCCCATCACTCAACACTGGCAGCCCTCCTCTGCTTTCATATTCAGAAATGATTTTGACTTAAATTATTTCCAACTTACTGTAGTCTCTCTGAAGACACTGTTTCTAGTGTAATCATAAGGACTAACTTAAATGTATAGAAAAAATTCAAGTAGAACAAAAGTAAGTAATTTCTAAAAGACCAGTGACCCCCTCACCATGCTTATGCATGGGTCAAAATAAGACATACCATTTTATTGGCTGTAAAACATTATTTCCTCTAACAATAGTGATTTTTATACAACAAATTAAGGAGGAAAGTGTGCTTAAATTAAAACACACTTATGTGTTTTATAACCTACACAATTACATGTCTTGCAAAGAGAATAAAAGTGAACTTGTGAAAACTTTCAGAAATTTGGGATTATTAATCTCGATTTGCTGTCTTTGATGGGTTAATAATTGTCCAGTCAATTAGTAAACCATGTTCCTGGGTGTTTCTTGGTGGGTCATGGAAATGAGACCTCAGTCACTCATCTCTGGTGCTATTCCCTCTCTACTCTGCTCCCAGGCTGGCATGAATTAAGCAGCTCTGCTCTATCCACCATGCACCTTCACCAAGATGCTTCAGGCCTGGAGTCCCTTGATCGTGTTCTAAAACTGTACACTGGATTAAATCTTTTTTCTTTTAGTTTGTGGGTATGGTGTATTGTGTCCAGCAACAGGACAGGTAATACAAACATTTACCTATAAGAACTTCATATGAATAATACATGAAAAAGAAATTAAATCTTAATAAAAATTTAACTTTACATCACTGATAGTTTCAGGTTTAGTGATAATTTAAGAATGCTAGTAGCCAAAATAAATGAAACCCATGTATTCAGACTATTTTGCAATCACTAAGAATGAAAAACTACAAAAATAAACCTGTTTTGTTTCCAAGTGGTGTGAATGCGTGTGTTTGTGTATATGTGTGTGTTTCTGTGCTTCACATGGTGTTGGAAGATGGGAAATGTATACCTGGAAAAAGCCAATGATCTTTTTTGTCAAATCTTGAGAATTATAGTCTAAAATTTTGTACTATATATCACTATAAGCAAAAACAAAAGCAAAAATAGCACTATAAGCAAAAATAAAAAGCAAAAAAAATTGAAATATACTGTAAATTTATGAGCACTTTATACTTGAATCTTGATGCAGTCTTTTGTCAAAATGGAAATAAATTTAATTAGAGTAGTTTTAAGTGTGCAGACGCTTGTCAAAATCCTTTCATTTCAGTGTGGGAAGAGGCTGAGATTTTCTCCTGAACAACAGCACATTTAAAATATGATAAGAAGTAACTTCTGTACTTAAATTTCACTATCTGCACAGCAACTTGTCAGCAGAGTTGCAATAGAGACTCCCTTTCATGAATTCACACTGCTGGGAAAACTGGCCTTGTGAGACACCTATTTGCAAGGAGGTAATAGAGGAGATTTATAGAAGCTGAGGCCAACCTAAAGCCATAGCCAGAATGCTAAATCCTGCAGCTCAAGGTAAATGAATCCTACTAGGATCCTAAGTGAGTATGGGAGGGAACCTTATCCAGCTTGGGTGAGTATTTGTGGCAGCACAAACTCAGCATAGAACACAAAACAGGAAAAGTGAGACAGCTCTGTTGAATATAACCTGCTCCACAACACCTGCTTAAGGCTGCCTGAGACAGTGGTGCTGACTGCATATGATCCCTCCCATCACAGCACTGAGGGAGTCCTAAACTTTCTCTTATACCTTGATGACGTTTTAATATCCTCTTGACATCTAAGTAAAGCTCAGCAACATCACATGCAGTCTGAATCTCCAAGCAAAAGATTTCAGGTGCTTCCAACTTCATAGCACAAGTCCTGAAAGAAGCAGAGGCAGACACCCTTTCAGCTAACATTTCCTTCAACTCTACCCACCCGGACCTTCCCTTCCTGTTTACATGAGACTCACCTGCTCAAGGTTTCTTTCACATCCTACAAAGAAATAAAAACAAAAGGTAAGTAGGTTAGCTCAGCACTCCATGGGCTGTGGCATGGGAGACGCTGTCTGTAAACACATTTCCCTAAGAAGGCAAAAGAGATCCAGCTGAGACACTGCTTCAGAGTCAGGAGCAATGATCCCATTGGGCCTCTGCCCACTCAGTAGGAGGCAATGATCTCCCTAGGGAAGCCTGCAGGGGAAGAGCAACAGCCACAGAGGCATCTGCCTGTGGAATACAGGCAAAAACTTTGCTTAGACTCTCTCTGGCAAGACGCTCTCAGAGACCTGATGTCCTGCAGAGAGAACCTATGTAGAGACCATTGTCACCACGGTCCTCCATGGTGACCTCCTGAAACTCTAGGCCACAGAAGTGATGGCAGCTGGTGTCACAGGGTGGTGCAGCAGATTTGCTCCACTTCACCACTCCACTTCACTACCAGAATTAACTGCTCAAGTAGTGGGCACCAGAATTAACAGCTCCAGCAGTTTATCTTAATTGGGTGCATCCATTCATTCTGTAAGAAGAAACCACGGTATCTCTGGAGTAAGAAGTTTACCAGAAAATCAGGGAAAAAAATAATTCTGGCTTTGGGCTGCCTCCGTGTTATCATCTGTCACCTGAAAGAGTATTTCAGGGGAAGGTCAGACTCAGGGAACTGTGCCAATGAAACAAAGAAGAGATGGTTGCCAAAGTTATCCCATGGTTCCCTTTGGCCACTCTATGTTCACCCAGAGGAAGCAGGTTTCATAATTCTCATACGGCAAACATAGACCAGTGGAGCCATCCTGATGATATTGCTATATAAGGTCAGAGAAACATTAAAATCTTTACTCTAATACCTGTGTTCAAGAAAAAGAGGCTTAATGATTTCCCCATAATTTCTGACCATTCTACTCTTATAGCTCATCAGACTCTTTCTTTCCAAGAGTCCACAGCCTCACCTGCAGCAGGTTCTGGGCTGAGCCCTGACATTTTGCCTCCAGTTGCAGGATGTGGCTCTTGAGCTCATCGCTCTTCTGCTGCAGGTTGTCCTCACTCTCCCTCAGTCTCCTCAGCGTCTGCTCTTCTTCCTTCTCCAGCCTCCAGAGATATGAATTCTCCTCCATATATAGAAACGCATGGAGATTCTTAAAGTCAGACTTGATGCTTTGTCTTCGAGTTTCTGTATCAACCTAGAGTCAAGAAAGTATGATAGAAAGTATAAACAAACCAGGGTTTTATGCATTCATGGGTGAAAGATAAACAAAATGTGCATATGTAGATGCAGCAGAGTCTTTCCTAGTCTTTAAAAGGAATGAAAATTTTAAGAATGAAACTTGAAGATCTGAGTGAGATAAACCTCAAACAAGGAAACAAATATTGTACATTTGACGTATCAGAAAGCGACAATGGTTCAAGTCATAAAGGCATAAAGCAGAATTGTGGCTGCTAGGTGGTAGGAGAAAGGAAAGAATGAGGAATGAGGAATTAGTGCTTACTAATGGGGTCAGAATGTTACTTTGAAAGATAAAATTACTTCTCAAAATGGATTTGGTGATGGTTACACTTAGTGCCTCTTAGTTTTCTATTTCAAACGGTAAAAATGTATATTCTAAAGGCTCATAAAAAAAGAAAGTATGATCAGCTACTACTTGTGATATAATGTTTTAATATATCATTCAAGCTGGAAAAAAGTTCTAAAGGCTCCTGCCGGCATTGAGATATTGGAAACATGGGCCCTGTCTTTGCTATAGTCACCTGATTGATTTTCTCCTAAGCATGAAGGCTGAAAAGATTCTTCTTGACAGATGGAAGATCCACTGAGACAAATTTTGTTAGGGTTAATTAAGAAAATCTCATTTACCACCCAAGTCATCTTAATCACCCCAAAGTAAAAAATACCAGAAACTAATGATGTATGTTATTTGATGTCAATTTCACTTGAGGAAATACAGGCTCAAAATTTCCAAAAGAGCTTTCCAAATTTCTGCCATATACTTGTGACTATGATGTCACGATAGAAGGTCACCTATTTAGGGTAAAGTAGAAGTTCTGTGAAAGAAACTAGTGCAAAGTTACCCTTCCACTGGAGGGCTTTCCATATGTATTAGCTACACTCAAGGTTTTCTCCCTGCTCAAGATTCCAGAAACAAGGTTTATGGAAGCATTATCTGGAAGACTAAGTTCAAAAAAATCTGAAAGAGGCAGAGTAACTTACTGGTCTGTTGATCTGGACTGCTACCTCATGGATAGATACAGCCACAAAAGGAATGGATCTCTGACAGGGTGGGGGCCTGGTGAACCATGGAAATGGTCTGGAAGCCTTCAACTGCAGGTGCAAGTGCTCGAGTTCTTGCAACAGCTACCATGTTCTTTATAAATCAAACTGTTCTAAGTTACTGCCTTGATGAATCCAAGTTGGAGAGACACTGTTTTCTGGAAGTTCTCAAAGATGGCTTCTGCACCCATTAGGCTGAGAGCCAGATCTTGCATGCTGCGTTTTATCTTCCTAACCTAGTACACTGAGAATAAACTGGATTCGACCTTGTCAGCTTCTGTTCTAAAATTGAAAATACTAGAGATCAATGAACTCAGATGAGTTCAATGAACTCACCTTCCATTTATCAATTTGTATTTCCATGAGTGCTTTCTGTTTCATGTATTCTTCTTCAAATTGACTCAATTTTGTCACAGCATCCTGGAGCTTTTCCTGAAGGAAAAATTGAATAAAGAATGTCTATTTGATTTGATTACTCATTAGACTCTTAACAGGAATCTCAGCAGTCCAAGATGTACTAAGATCACAGTGAATATTCATTGAGTTGTTACACTTTGCTAGGGAGCCTAGGGTCTGTAGGTCAGATTACACTGATCTAATCAGCAATCCTGAGCAGTTGGTAGGATTTTCATCTTCCTTTCTCCACTGAGGCTTAAAAGGGTTTGAATATGGCCAGATGCATGTAAACGGAAGGCAGTGAGGCTGGGATTCTGATCTGTGCTGACCAAAGCCTCAGACATCCCCCACCCAAGTGGCCAGACATGGTAAACAAAGAAAGCAAGATCTTACAGAATAATATGCTGTACAAAAGTAAGAAATTCCACTGACACACAGAACTTTGTGTGAGTTGTGAGAAAAGAAGCCAGAATACAAGCTGAAGTTATTAAAAACAATTAATACAGATGGGCAAATTCTGTTGCACTTTGAAAAATGGTGACATGAAACCAATTTAAAAAGACTTGTCACACCTGGTAAGGTTTTTAGGTTATTTTCCAAAATGGTTTTATATACTGTCCTTGAAAGCAAAAGTTCATTTTTTGAAATAGTTAAAAAAAATCGACTCCTATCCCCACTAAACCCAAAAAGGACTTTAATGAATTCTGCAGTGCTCTTAGGAAACAGCTCTACCCAGCTGATACAGCAAAGCTGCACTTCCCTGTCTATATGCCAAAAGGTATTCTAAATTTTACACATTTTAGTATCTTTAACTTGCTTACAATCTCTGGATATATGAGGGAGGGGATGAACTTCTTTTTATCCTCATTTATATAGGGAAACCAAGGAATGAAAACATTATGTCCATCAAGGTAAGGGCCAGACCTAAGATTTGAACCTCAGCTGTGGACCTCTGAGGCTGACAGCTACAAACTGCAGAATTTGCTTCTCTGCTGTACGGTGGGAGAGAAACTCAACAGGAGCAAGCCCATTACAGACATTAGCAGCTCCACAGAGTCTAAGGAGCATCCGACATGCTGAATGGGGGCTCAGGAGTGTGTGATCTTAGAAAGGTCGCGGAGCCTTCACAGGAAGGAAGGTCTGTCTCATGAAGGATGAACCAGGAGCACACACTGTGCACGAGATCCTCAGACTCAGCGTGCCGGAGGTAGGGGCAGCAGAACTAAGCCAGCTTCTTCCCTCACCACTGCAAGGGCTCATCCATTACAAGCTCTTAGAAGGCACCTAGGAATCTCCTAGCACCTCTCTCTGGAACTTACATATTAATCATTTCCAAATTTGCATCTGTTCCTCTGAACCCAGTCTAAAATTGCTTGTGACTTCCCTATCTTAGAGGGGATAACACAAACTTTATTATTTGATATTCCTTTTATTTTAGGGATACCTGGTGATTTTTTCCAATCTCTGACCTCTTGTTTTTCACATGAAAAGCCCCAGTGGCAGGTGACACTGTGGTCTAGGATTTAAGTTGGGGACTGAAGTTTAGATCCCGTGTCCTGGCTCTCTATCCACTCCCCTACCTTTCTGTCTACTCCAGAGGCCCTGGGGCCTGGACATGGTGCAGCCAGAGCCACAGAGACTGTGCCTTCACTGGGGCCATCTTCTCTGCCTGGATGCCTCTAGCAGCTGAGTGCACCTGTCCTTAGGAGCCACCTCTGGGATGCACCGCCTTCCCCTTCTGCCCCCTCTCATCACCCAAGCCCTTGGCCCTAGCTAGCATTTGGATGATTTATCGTCTCTACTAAATTTTAGGAAAGCTACAGAGTTGTATCTTTGTTCCTTTTCTTTTCAGATCCAATTTCAGAGACTGACTTACTATGGTTTCCAACAGTACACAGTGTGAAGCAACAGAATGTGCAGGTGTTTGGTTGAGCGTGTCCCAGAGCAGAGAGAAGGCCATGGTAACAAAGGCCATGGGGACAGGAGTCTGAGCATCCTGCTGAATGTCAGGATGGATGGTGTGGACGGATTCAGCAAAGATCCATCACATAGTATATTTCAGAAGAATGCCATGCTAAAAGCTGTGCTTCAGGGTTAGCATTTTAGGATTTGGGGTGAGTACATTGGGGTTGTTCCAGCAGGATGTGATTGATCCTGCCTAGGCCTGACTGAGGCTCTGTTTAGGGCACACTCACCTTGTAGCCCTGGCACACTTCCTCCACCAGTGCCGTGGCATGGCCTTGGTGCTGCGGTGCCCGCTCACAGCGCCAGCAGATGAGCTGGTTGTCATCTTCACAGAAGAGGTGGAGCTGCTCTCCGTGGGCCTCACATACCTGCAGCTCATCTTCTGTGTCCTCCATCTCCTTGATGAGCTCTACCAGATTTCCCAGCTGCTTGTTGGACCGCATGCTGTTTATATGAAATGAGGCCCGACAAAGAGGACAGACAAACGTCACCTGCCCCTGATTTCTGGATACCTGGGAAAGGTACTGCTCCAAGCAGGTTCGGCAGTAGCTGTGTCCACAGTTTATGCTCACTGGCTCTGTCATCAGGTTCAGGCAGATGGAGCAAGTAGCCATCTCTTTCATCCTTTTGGCCCTAGTGGCTGAGGCCATAGCTTTTCCTGAGAAGTTCCAATGTTAGATCTATGGCAGAAGATGAAGCGGCCAACAATTCTACAGGGATGGAAACAGAGCTGATAAGAGCCTGTGTACAAGGAGGTGGCTGCTCCAGCCCTCAGCTTCTCTTTGGAAAGAACGAATGAGTCAGAGCTGAGAACATGTACAAACAGCTAGCTCTTTTCTAATATGGTTGCACTGTGAATGTGAACATTTGAGTTTAAATGTGTATTAATAAAATTTAAAATTGATTTCTCTGTCTAGCTTCCTTCTTGGCTGGCTTCTGATACTTCAGATGCTCAATTGTCTCCCATGGCAGCTCAACTCAGTCACACACCATTCCACTGCAGTGAGAAGTTCTCTGGGACCAGTGCTGACAGACACCAGGCCTCCTTAGACTCTGCAGAGGAGCTGGAACTCAGTGAGGCAGCATAAAACTCCTTCCCACTCTAATGAGCATCAGAATCCATCAGTACCAAAATTATCTCTTTACACTAGTTATAACGAGAGAAAGTAGCCATCAATCAGCCACACTGTCAATGGATATTATGGCCAGTGTCTAGATGGCCCCAGGAAACTTCATGCAGTCCAAAGTGGGGCTTTTCAGAGATGGTTAGATCTAGAGTGTGATACTGGGGTTGATTCACGGTACAATGCTAAGATTAAGGGTTTCAAGAGTAAGGGTGTGAGTAGGCCTGGATAAGATATAAGGGACAGAAAGAGGCTGGGTCCCTTGTCACTTGGTTGCTTGTGCTGCCTTCTTTCTGTCCGCCAAGAACAATTTCTCCTCTGTCATCCCAACCTGCCTTAGAGCCACCCACCTATGGGCTGAAACCTCTACAAACTGCCCGCCAAATAAACCTTCCCTGGGAGGGTGGGGAGACAACTGAAGTGACTCCCCTTGAATGCAGAACAATTGCTACAACTTTGAGTATATTGAGACTGATTTCCTTATACTGATGTGTACAGAGCTGGCTACAGTACTTCCTTCTTTCTTCAGTTGGCTCTAAGCATTGCAAATAAGGCTAGCTGAGGTATTGATATGTAATTTCTAAAGCCATCAGACAGTCTCCCATTCCTCGCTTTGTGCTCTCTCTAAAATATATAAGCATATATAAGACTGATGTTAGAGCCATCAATCAGTTCCAGGAATGTCAACGGGGTGTGAGCCTCAAGGTAAAGAGGCTATGACTCCCCTGGGCACAAAAATTTACATATCAGAAACTGAAGCAACAGCCTCCAAAAACAATTCAGTTGCTACCTTAACTGAATTATGCAAATAGATCTTTTACATATCCTTATATCTGCATTCTACAGAGATGCTTTTCTCCCTATCTGGTCAGCCAGCTCAAGTTACTCATGTAATTCCCACCATCCTCACTGTCACTCATCCTCAAGCCACCCTCTTCTTCAGAAGATAATAAATTCTGGGAGAGGCCTAGCATCAGGGCCTTTGTCCACACATCCTCACTGGGATTGGGTTTAGGATCCCTTGGCTGCCCTTAACTTGGAACATGTCTTGGTGTCTTTATTCTTGCTGTGGGTTGTTTTGGAGGTGGTGGATTGGAATTAACTTGGTGGGACTCCAATAACATCTTACAGTACTTGGATAACTGTACTCAGTATTTGGGATTACAATATCCCTCCCTTGTGAATGTCAGGTATTTTGTCTCTGCAAAAATTAAGACAATGGAAGATTTTATTTAGACAATCAAACAGGATTCCACCTTAAGCTTGTACCCCACGTAGGCCAGAGGATATCACATCATTAAGCATCAGTGGAGACACAAATCAGGTGGTGAGACAAGTAACCAATACATTGAAAACACCTGGTTTACTCTTTTTGCATCCCTTCTGAGCCAAGGAAAAGAGGCTGCTGCAGGAGGGGAGTTGTATCCTGGGGCCCGCTCTTTGATGGGGAGAGAGCTCTGGAAAACGAAGGAGCTTATTGTTTCATTCGCAGACCGGGAACTTGATTCGGGAATGGTACAGGTCATGGAGACAGGGAAGGTGGAAACGATATGGGGAGTTAGGCCTCTGTGGCATAAGCGGGGCTGGACACTCCTGTGCCCACCACTGAGAATTTAACAAGCAGAGGCAGCAGAGAAACGATCACCTCTGGCCCCTTGTCACCTACAGCAAGTGCTTCTGCCAACTCATCCTTATATTCCTAGAAATTACAACCCTTCCGAGGGAGACTGTATAGGAGAACAGCAGTTGGGGGAGGAGGGGAGTTCATACAGTGAATTTTCTTTTGACACGACTGTGCTTTTATTTAAAAACAGGAATTCAACTAAAGTTACCAGCTGGGCCATTTTCCTCTTATAACCAGGACCAGTAGCTTGGGACCACACAGGAGTTCTTCTGCAGCCTCCATTTTTTTGACCCTCAACTTCCCCCATGGGTACATTAGGCCTCTTCTCTACGAGGGTTGCTGGGTTCCTGGTATCCCGGGCATCTCCTCCTTTAGGACTGCTGGCCCCCACCCTGCATGTCACTTACCTTATGTCCTGGATCTTCCGAGATGTGGTGTGGATTCTGGTGAATGTGAAAGGAGACAAAGATTGACAGCTGTGAGCAAATTCTCAAGCATTTCCCAAGGCAGAGAGAGGGCCTGCTGCCAGGAAACAGTATCTTCACCCCTACAACACACAGACAGAGCCCCCTGCTGTGTCTCTGGCCTGGATCTCTCAGACGAGATCGGGCGCGTTCAGGGTGGTACGGCTGTAGGCGGCCCGGACCTCTCCGTAAGACACCCCTTACACGTCGCCGGCTCGAGCAAAGTTCAACTTCCTGGGATCTGAAAGTAAAACTGCGGTAAATCAGAAGTGAAACTATTGAGGTGGGTGGAGCCAATGAATCAGAACCAATGAGGGTGCTTATGTGGTTAAAGGAAGGAAGAACACAGAAAAAACATCCTCCTTCAAATCAGCAGACCCAAGGGACGTCTTAATAACTCAGGAAAACTCCCTGAGGCTGAGCACAGGCAGTGGAGGAGCAGGGCACTTGCAGAGGGCCAGCTCACAGCTCTGATGAGAGATCTTTCTCTTCAGTCTTCAGTTCTCCTGGCACCCACAAACCTCCCGACCTTTTAGCTGCTTCTAAGTGACCTGTGATTTTCTCACGGTTCTGATGGGTGTAAAGGGGAAGCAGCACATGGCTCCTTGGCATCACAACATCCTCCAAGCCAGCCTCCCACTCTTTTCTGTCCTGTACTAGGTCTCCTTTCTTTCTGCGTGGTCCCATGGAGTATTTGTTCCTCCCTGTGTCTGCTGCTCCCCACAGGAGTTCGGTGTGAAGAAGTCAGCATGCTTAGTGGCACATTTTGGAGTAGCATTTCCTAAACTCTGTCAAAAAACAAACAAAATGAAATAAAACCCAGAATCCCATAAACATGTAATCCAGAGGAAATGAAGACTCAAAGCACTGCAAAACCAAAATGCTTTTATACTATGTTGAACAAACAGAGGAGTTTGTGGAAAAACAACTGCAATCGGTGGGGAAGCTGAAGGATTTTAGAATTACTTTAAATGCATTCTATTTCTAGCAAAATTTAGAAGAGAAAAGAGGAAGAAAAATTAGGGTCTCTAACTTATTAGTAGAGAGAGAAAAGTCCAGACCTATAGCTTGACCCTTGAAGGAGGCTTAAGAAAGGGCTCTGCAGACACATTTCAGGTCACTCTGAGACAGAGAATACCTGAGGATTGCTAAAAGAATCGCCTTTCATCTTCTTTGGGGAATGCAGGTGGAATGATAGATAAGTGGAGATTGTCTGCTGATTCAGGGCTGTCAGGAGCTAGTGTCCACAGAGGGACCTTTGGGTATCCACCAGAGAGCTGACCAGGCCGTGAGCCATCAGTTTTCACTAGTTCCACACAGTTAGAGATCTGTTTCCAGAAAGGAATCCAGTTGCCTCTCTGTTCAACATTCCAATGGGTGACAATTGGGATTCACCAAGGGTTACTGGAGAAATCTATTTTCTATTTTGAGAGCAGCAGCTTCCATGAAGGCAATTACTAGCTGGCAGAGTGACCATTGATGGTTTTAGCATTCTATAACGGACAGATAAAAGCCTGAGTTGACTATAGAGGTTTCATAAAAAGACCCATTTTACAAAATTTTATCGAAGTCCACTAGATGGCGCTTTAACATTATTTTCCTTAGTGCAGTGTAAAACTTTAAAACTACAGCAATCAAGAGTCAAATGTTTCAAGCAAGTCTAAATATAACATATACAAGACTTTGTCTGCAAAAGTACAACACCCCTTTAAAGAAACATCATAAAGTGATTTACAAAAGATGCAAACGATGACAGACAAGAATGACAATTACGATTATCTAATATAATTCAGCATCCAGAAATAAATGCAAACTCTTATCTCTTATTAATTATTGGTTATCTTGCAAAATGAAAAAATCAAAAGTATTGCACTCTGGTCACTGAGATCCATTGTCTAGTGGGAAATTTATCCATGTCATGTTATAGAAAAACATCAGCCATTTGGGCTCCAGATTGGGAGAGAGGTGGAGAGGTTTGAGATTCTGCCCAAGGCAGGCTACAGGGGATAAGGGAAGGTGGTGGAAGATGGATGCGATGGATGGTTTCCCATTAGAGTAGAGAGTAGAGGTGTGGGAGAGTGGCCAGATCTCTGGTAGATGTCTCCAATCAGGACTCACAATATAAATATGAGCAACTGGGCAAGGCAAACATCTTTGTAGGTGGTCAGCAGCTAGAGTGAAGCAGCCTTCCCAGGAGTGCTTTTCAAGACCAGTGCTGCAGTTTAAAAAGCACAGAAAGCAGGGTAAAAAGAGGACATGAGGGAGAAGGCTTACTTGACCTGAAATACCTGGCAAGATCTGTCATAGTAAAAATGGGAAGAGCTATAGAGATCTGAGGATATTGCTGGGTGATCTCAGCTGGAGTGGAGGTCCAAGAGAGTGTAAAACCCTCTGGGGAGAGCTTATCTCCCTCCCAGGTTTTCGCACCAGATTTAAGAAAGAACAACAGGCAGAGACCAGTGGAGACCACCAGGCCTGCGTGCTACATGGTATGAAATTTATTGTGTCTGGGTGCAGGCAGGCAGAAGGCAAAAGACTGTCTATAGGGAACAAAGAGAAACAAGCTTATTTATGTATTTATCTTTTTAAATAGGGCTTGAAAGAAGGCAAGGGACATTAGATGGGAAGATATTGGTAAACCTCAATGGTAAAAGTTCTCTTGTACCTCAGTGGGCAAAGTCCTTAAGGCATCCTGTGTGAGTGTTTGGGTGTCCTCAGCTGCCTGGGTGTTATGGAAGATGCCATAGTTCTGTTTTACCTCTTTTATGACATCCTCTGTTTGCCAAGGGCACTGCTGTTGATCTGAGAACAATGTTTCTGCCGGCAGATAGGTTGGGTACTAGGACAGTCATGTCTGAATTGAGCCTTACAAACTGCTTTGAGATGCATTATTGCTGTTTCTGGGCCCACACGTGAAAATATCCACCTTCAACTTCAGATCAACCTTAGAGCCAATGTCAGTGAATCACTCATCCTTGTCAGGGAGATTGAAAAGCTGCCTCTCATAATCTCGTGACAAATATGTACAAATTATTTCCAGTGACTCCTACGATTTCCTATGGGAAGGTGATTTGCCAGGCCCATCACTCTGATTGGTTTCAGTCAGTTTCCACCATAGTGTTCTTCTCTTTATTCCTATTTTATTCTATCTGCCTCTACGTGGTGGTTACATGACTCCCTTTGATCATCCTGCAAGTTTGTCCTCACAACTATCTCGCACTTTGATGTTACTAAATCTCCTCTCAACCTTCTTGAGAAGCAGCAGTCTGGAAGTCAACAACCACCACAGTACTTTCTTGTCCTGTTGGCCATGTTGATATGCCCGCCTTCTCAATATGCATGCACATGCCGTCCAGGACACATCAGCACACAACCACACACCACTCATATCACATCGCGTGGATACATCTCCAAAGATGTGTGCTCACTGCAAGTCAGAGTCATATGTTTAACCCATATAACTATGCCTGAAACTGTCTTAAAGATCTTAAACAATATTCCTCAGTGGACAAAACTCTTACGAACCTCTGCCCTTGTAGAACATTATGCTTTTAGAGGAAGAAGAGACTAAACCATATAAACAAGTAAAATATTCAGTGCCATGCCCTGGAAAGAAAATAGAGCCATTTGATGGAGTTGGGAGTGAGGGAGGGCACAGATGTGAGCAGATGCTAGGAGTGGCCTGGTTGAGAAGGGTGCTTACAGGTGTCCAGGGAAGGTGCTCAAGGGCCAGCTGGGGCTGCCTCTTGCCAGAGAGACACTCAGTCCAGGGTTCTTTCAGAAGACACTAGTTGTGGTCATAGATGAACTTAAACTAGTTTAACCTGAGGTTACCTCCACAGACTTGGTGTTCTACTAGGCCATATGATTGTTTGTTCAGGAGGAGGTCTATACATGCATGGTGTTAAAGGAAATGAATGTAGGAACTTAATTCTCAGTAGAAGGCTGCTAGGACAGCATAAGATGTTTTGCTAAGATGTGTCCAAAAGAACAGTAACCATGAAGGCCAACTATAGCCAGAGACAGTCCCTGGGATAGTTAAAATAATTAAGTTTTCACCTTTCTCTACTTTACCCCTCCCATTTCCTGCTTTTGCTCTTTGTTAAGAAAAGACTCTAATAAAAAGCCAGAGGAAATTGTAATCATGGCTTCAGTCCTAGAGACGGTATCCCCCACTCCGATCCCATAACTTTGTCTCTGTCTTGGTTTCTTTTCATCCAGCACACCTGTTTTAGAGGCCTGTCTCCTCACAAAGACCAACAGCTGGTGACCTCCCCACTAAACTCCCTCTCAGCTTTCTTGCCTAGAGGCCCAGCTCTTCTATTGCTTTCATTGTCATATGCTTCCTGTCCAGTCCATTACTATATTCCGCAGGCCTGTGCTAGGTCACAGAAATTCTCCTGGTTTGTTACTGTGTCCACTGCTTTAAGGGAGGATATTTTTCCTGTGTTCTCTCTCCCTTTCAGAACAGCGGTCCTCTCATTGGCTCTGAATCTCTGGCCCCACCTCTCATAGTAGTTTCACTTCTGAATTGAGTCAGTCCACTCACAGTTTCCTGAAGTAGGACGTCAGAGGACTGGCGGCAGGTAGAGGGCTGAGGAGCGCAGGCCAGGGTCTGCTGGGTGGAAGACTGGTGCCTGTGAGAGTGTGGTGGGGGTGGAGAAAAGGTTTCTTAACGGCATAGCCACTGCCCTGTACCTCAGGAACACAATTCACACCACCCCTGCTTTCATTTTCATCAGAAATCACAACTTCTCAGGAGATCCAGAATATAAGGTGAGTAAGCTCCACAATGGACACCTATGGTCTTAAGAAGATAAGGCCCTGGTGCTAGGAGCCCAGCACTAACAGAGAGGGGTCTAGGGCACCCCTGGAGGAAGTGACCACCAAAGAATAGATGTCTGCAAAAGAGATCCTGTGTGACTTCGAGAGGCTGGTCTTAGTTAGGCAAGGAAACTGGCTATTTTGATAAGGCTATCAGAGTTCCTGTTTTTAAACCTGGGTATAGCATTGAAAAGGAAAAGTCACTATCCACATTTATCCCTATGTCGCTCCCCTCCAAACTCTGGGGTGCAGTGAAGGTCTGGGGAGAACAGGGATGGGGTAACGGGAACCCCTTCTGCAGAAGTCAAGGGTACAGACATGGCTCCTGGTTGCTCCTCCAAAACATCTGGGTGTCAGATTCTCAGTGGTGGTCAGAGGATGTCCAGCACCCGAAGTCCTCAGAGTCCTGACCTCTCATCTCCTTTCCACCTTCTCTGTGTTCTGTGCTGAGCCTCTTACCTGTGTTCTTGTCTCTTAGAGAAAGTTTCTGGCCTGGAGAAAAGATAGTAAGCTTCCTGGTTCTCCAGAGTTCTGTCCCCAGGAATAATGGAGTCCCAGGATCCACTTCACTTCCTACATCCTCTTTCCAGCTTTCTTCTCCTTATTTTAAGGAGGGGAATGGAGAGAACAAAGACAATAAGCCAGTTTTTCTAAAGGTCTGGGCTCCATTTGTCCCCTCTTGGTTGAATCTCCAATAAGACTTTACAAGTCTACTGTCCTGTAGTCTGTGAGGGTCAGCCCTAAAGTGGAAAAAAAAAGTCCAGAGCAGCCCACTTGGGACCCCTTCCATCTCTCTCTCTCTCTCACACAGAAAATTTCTTTCTCTCAGTAAGTAAATTCTGTTCTTAAGAAAAAGAGAGAGAGGGGCTAGGGATTTAGCTCAGTGGCTTAAGCACCTGCCTTGCAAGCAGGCGATCGTGAGTTCGATCCCCGGTACCGATAAAAAGGAAAAAAAAGACAAAAAAAAAAAAAAAAAAAAAAAGAAAAAGAGAGAGAGAAAGTCAATTTGACTGTCAGTGGCACCCTCCATGGACCAGTCAGTCAGCTGAGCATTAACACGAATTAAAAAAAAAAAAAAAAATTCTGGTGCTGGTTGTTTCGGATGTTCATTAGAATGGGAGGCTTTCACATACCCTCACCAAATTGTGTCTCATGCTACATTTGTCAGGAAGCCTGCTTCTCCATTTCTCTAATCCCTGATACCAGAGAACTTCCTACCTTGATTGAATGTTTTATTGAGGCAGGATAAAAGAAAAACAAAACAAAAAGGCCCACAAAAACACAATTAAAAGAAGGTAAGGAAATTGAGACTTTAAAACTGCTGCTTTGAGACAAAAATATTTCCCCTGCCTCTAGAGGCCACCCTACGTGGTGATGCTCCCTCTGCAGAGAGCAGTGTTAAGTTCCTAAAGGTCCTTTTCCATGTAAGTTTCCATGCACTGGATCTAATCTTTGCATATGCAAATCACTCTTTCCTCCAGTTCAGAAAGAAGCAAGCTGGCAACAACATATTTCAAATTTAAGCAGCATTCCCAAGCCTCAAACTCATATAGATAGATGGCTTGCACTGTAACCCAACAGAGAAAATACACATGCTGCCTTGAAGATACCCCTTTAAGTGTGCCCTACTCCAGCTTGTGATGCATCTCACTTCTCTGGGCTCTCACACCCACTTCTTGGTTGTGTCCTAAAGTCTCTATCTAATAAACCCTACTAATGCTTCTTTATGACTTGTGTTGAAAATTCTTATTCTGTGTGGGGAGTCAGCAAACCTTCAAACTTTTAGAGGGTGGAATAAGTTCCTTATTTCAGCCTCAGGAACCCCTTAGAACCAGCACCAGTGATGCTGTGGCTGAGCTGTTCTATAAACACCACTGTGTTATCTAATAAGCAATTGAAATGTGGCTAGCTAATCCAAGAACCTGGATTTTAAATTTCATTCAATATTTACATTGACTTTAAATTGCCAAACATGATACTTTTTGAATATTAGACAACACAACTAACCACTTATCCATCTTCTAAATTAAAAATCTGTTTCTCTTCTTTCCAGCATTAAGACTGCAAGACCTGTGGAGGGTAATTGCAGCCAGAAACTTGTACTAAAGCTCTGGAGAGGCCTTTTCCATTTCTGTGGAAATTCTGGCTGCTTCCTCTCCAGCTCCAGATCCAACATTGGAGAGTCTCAAGAAAAGTTATGGCTTCAGCCATTACAATTGAAAAGCTAAAAGAGATCGCCACCTGCACCATGTGCTCAGGCCTAATGCAGCACCCAGTGAATATCCACTGCGGACACAGCTACTGCCTGTTATGCATTTTGACTGTCGTTAAGGAGAAGCCATGGTTTAAAAGGTTCCAATGTCCTCACTGTGGTTTCACATTTGAAGAAGGACACTGGGTATACAATAATTCCTTGGAAAGACTCGTTGAGCTCATCCAGGAAATGGAGAAGACAGAGCAGGAGCTGCTGTGTGAGACCCATGGGGAGCGGCTCCAGCTCTTCTGTGAAGATGATGGCCAGCTCATCTGCTGGCGCTGTGAGAGGGGACCACAACACCAAGGGCACGCCACAGCGCTGGTGGAGGACGTGTGCCAGGGCTACAAGGTGAGTGTGTTCCCAGGACCTCAACAGGGACCTGATCAGGCTGCTCATGAGATCCAAGAGTGTGGACCTTGATGCCTATGATGATGACTCAGAAACATAATTATTCATATTATTCTTCTGCAAAATAGCTTGTGATGGATCTTTGCTGAATTCAATCCAAACTATCCATGCTGACATTCAGCAGGATGCTCAAATTCCTGTCCTCATCCTCTGTGTTACCATGGACGTCCCCTGTTCTGGGACATATACATCCAAATATTTGCATAATTTTTTGCTTCACACTGTGTGTTCTGTGAGAAACCACATTGTTCCAGTTGCTGATGCAGGATCTTAAAAGGGGAGGGACAAAAACTCTAGCTTTATGTGTATCCTACAGTTCAATAGAAAGGACACAGCAGCAAAATGACACCTGAGAGCCCTGGCGTGGGTGATGAAAGTGCAGGAGGGGAGGGAGGGGCGCATCCCTGAGGAGACTTCTGAGGACACAGGATGTCCCAGCAGAGGAATCTGTACAAGCAAAGGTGTAGCCACAGGGCTTTAGGACACCGACAGACAGTGGAGAAAGGGGTGAGGGGTGGGGACAGGGAACCAGGGCCCAGGACCTGAGTGTGGCTTCCAGTCTTAACCTTGGAGACAGTCTCACCTGCCCTGGGAACTTTCATTTGGGAAGTTTGGGTCAACATAACCCTGGCCCTCTTAATGTAACAAGTAATATTAAGGAATAAAACACAGATTATCCCTACACAAAAGAAAGGGACAGAGCAGGTTCAGACAAGACTCCTGAACAAAAGTCACTGGCTTGGACATTTTCACGCATGAAAGATGTGGAGTATGACTGGAGGGAGAGGTCTGGGCAGCTCCTGAGTATCACCTAAAAGCTTGTAAAGTAGACCTTTGCGGTGGCCAAAAAAAGGACCTAGCTTAGATCTGCTACCCCACTTAGAGCTCAGGAGCTTATGCTTAGCCCAGGATCCTGGTTCTCTCCCAGGATGCAGACCTGGGCTCCTATGAAAACTCCACGACCTTCGTGAGGGCACATCAGTCCTGACTCTTACTCAGCATGCTGAGTGCTCCTTTAACGCCGTGGAGCTGGCTGCTCAGACCTGTACTGAGGAGGCTCCTCTTTGAGTTTCTCTCTCACCAAGCAGTAGGGGAGGGAATAGTCAGTTTGAACCTCAGCAGCAGGCAGCTAAGGTTGAAATCTTAGGTCTGCCTTGATGAACAGTTTGGGATAATTTAATGTCCATGCCTTGGTTCCTCCATTTGCAAGTAGTTATGCATAACATGTATATCATGGGGTTTGTGGGTTTAAGGACATTGAAATATGCAGAGCTTAGAAAAGCACAGGGTTTGTAGCCTGCACAATGCAAGCTTTTGCTGAATCAGTTAGGTAAATCCCTTTCCTGAAAGCACTAGTGAATTCATGAAAGTACTTGTTGGGTTTATAGAGGACAAGGGGCAATTCTTTTAATTCTAATATCCACAACCAAATTCAAATTACTTCAAGGAAAATATGATACCCTGTTTTGAAAATTACCAGTTTATCAACTCAAATTTTTATTTGAAAATTATCAACTTAAAATTTATACCATGATGCTATTATTCAAACTGTATCAGAACTCTAGTGTCTATATTTCCTATTCCTGATAATGTTACCTGGTCTTTCTGACTTACTTGTAATACCCACAGATTCTACATGTACTAAATACCCTGGAATCCAATGTACTTTTCAGCACATTATTCTGGTTATTTTTTTTTCTTTTTTAACTTTTTATCGGTACTGGGGATCGAACTCGTGACCTCCTGCTTGCAAGGCAGGTACTTATGCGGCTGAGCTAAATCTCCGGCCCCTCAGCACATTATTCTGTAAAATCTTGTTTTAGATGATTATTATATCTGTGTGCAGTAATTTTCTAGCTATGGTGTGGTGGGAGACATGACTGTTTTCTGGCCTGCAGAGGAAATGGTAATCCCAGCCCTTTGTTGACCAGTTACAGCCTCCCTGTCCCACTGGGCAACTGAATCAAGTCCTTCTGACTTTCTTTTTCCACAATAGAGGAAGGATGTTAAAAGCTACCTACTCAGGGGAGGGGAGGGGATCAGTATGTCACTGCACACACAGCCCTCTTCAGACTCCCTCACGAAGGGTAAAAACTCAGTAAGTAAATACTATTATTTTTGAGCTGGTATTCCCAATAGTTGACTAGTAAATCAAATTCATAACCTTTTTTCACCTAATTTTTCCTTTAGGAAAAACTGGAGAAAGCTGGCAGAAATTTGAATCTACTTCAAGAGGAATGTATGAACCAGAAAGTGTTCATAACGACACAGATAACTAAATGGAAGGTAACAATCTGATCCACTGAACATGAGATATTATTTATTCTAATAAATTTTACACAAGAATGATTGAGACAAAGCATAAAATGGTTTTTTGGCCACTGCATCAGGCAGTGACAGTCTGGCTCCAGCCTTACAGTACAGAAAACGCCTTTGAAAATATGCAGGAAACAGTGCCTTTCCCTGGCTTCCCAAGCTCCTCGGTCCAAGACACATGTTGCTTTTCAGTTATTTCTCTGGAACCCATTATCCAGCCCTCTGAGTCTGGATATTAGCGAGTTGCTCTGCCTTGCAAAGGAAGTTCCGCCTTCTGCCTCCTTTGTATGTGGAGGTTTAACTCCAGGTTTTCATAGCAATCAACTGCTGCTTCTGGAATCAAGGACTCTCCTCCCTGATAACTTTGTTTTAATGCACTCTTACAGAAACACGTCACCACTTACTGCTTTAAGAAATGTTCCCTGATTTACAGATATGTCTCACATTCCAGATAAAATTTTTCTTCCTCTAATAGACAAACTCAGCCCTACTTGTATAAATAATGTATCTACTACTACAAACCACTTCCTCTGTAGTTGATTGTGAAAGAAAAGTATCTTGACTATAGAGAATTCAGTGTCAATCTCCCGCATCTGTGTGCCAGAAGACAACCTGGGACATTCTTCCAGCTCAAGTGGCTCATGGAAGAATTATGTTACAGTAGCTTTCCTTTTCTAAATGCAATAAAATATACATAACATGAAATTTACAGTTTTCTGTGGGTTTAAATGCTCAATTCAGTGGCATTAAGTACTTCCACGGGCTGTAAAGCCATCACCATATTCAGAAATTTTTTTACTTCTAAAGTGAAACTTTGTCCCCATTGACCACTAACTTCTCATTCTCCTTCTCTGTTAACCACTGTTTTGATTTCTGTCTCTGAATTTGATTATCATAAGTCTGTGATGTTTCACTCAGATCTACAATAATTCTCCCCCTGTTTCTGGCTTATGTCACTTATCAGAATGTCTTCAAGGTACCGAATTTTTGCAGCATGGATCAGATTTTCACTGTTTAAGTGTGGGTAGCATCCACGTTTTTTTAATCCTTCATCAATCATGGACAACAGTCTATTGACACCTTTGACCACATCTTTTTGACTCTAGGACAAGATAGAGATTTGGAGACAAAAAATTAAATCTGACTTTAAGAATCTCCATACCTTTCTACAAGAAGAAGAGAAGTTGTATCTCTGGAGGCTGGAGAAGGAAGAAGAGCAGATGCTGAGGAGACTGAGGGAGAGTGAGGCCAACCTGCAGCAGAAGAGCGAGGAGCTCAAGAGCCACATCCTGGAAATGGAGGCAAAATGTCAGGGCTCAGCCCAGAACCTGCTGCAGGTGAGGCTGTGGACTTGGAGAAGGAAAAGAGGATTCTGACACAGCGCTGTTAGGAGGAGAATGGTCAGGAAGCATGGGAAGATGGGCAAGGCCTGCTTCTGCTCCCATGTAAGCAGTAGCCCGGGGAATTTGGGCAATGTCTCTCCTAGATTATACACCCATACCATCAGCGTGGCTCCTCTATGTATGTGGGGGTTCATTTATGTGCTATATAAACAGGTTTCCACTTTTGTGGAAGTGCTCTGCACTGCTCTACTCCTGTAATCACAGCTAGTGAGGAAGCTTATGCAGGAACATCACAAATTGTGAGACCATTCTAACTTGTTTAGTAAGATCTGATACAAAATTAACATTTATTTTTAAAAATAGAATGGGGGATGACGATCACTAGTAAAGCATTTGCCTATCATGTGGGAAACCCTGGATTCAATTTCTTGCACTGAAAAAAAAGAAAAATGAAAGAGAGAGAGAGAGAGAGAGAGAGAGAGAGAGAGAGAGAGAGAGAGAAAGAAGGGGAGAAGGGGAGGAGAACAGGAAAAAAGTGGAGAGGAGAAGGGAGGGGAGGGGAAGGGAAGAGAAGGGAAGAAAAAGGAAGAGAGAGGAGGAACAGGAAAAGGAAGAAGGGAAGGAAGGAAGAAAGTAAAAAGAGAAAATACCTACCTCTGGTGAATATGGACAGTCACATGGACCCATTCATTGGGTAGCTTTTGTCATCATTTCCCCTTGGATAATCATTTTCCTGATTTGCTGGTTAAACCATCCTGAGCTACTGTGGGGCTTCTTAAAGGTACACAAAAGATGCATCCAGTGAAAATAAATTGTCTAGGACTGGTACTTCTGGTCCCCACTAGTGGGACTGTCAGTCATTCTATAGCTGAGAAGGTAGCACATTTACTGTATCACTTTGTGATACCAACTTCTACCACCTTGGTGGCCCAACCTCAGGACCTTGGACCTCTATGGAGCTGTATGACCACAGAGGACCTTGGTGACAGTGATTTCTACATGGGCTCATTTTGCAGGACATCAGGTTCCTGAGAGCCAGGGAGGCTGAGCAAATCTCCTGCCTGTGTCCCCAGAAATCATAGGCTGGTGCCACTGCGGCCATTGCTGTTCCTCACAGGCTTCCCCAGGGAGATCACAGCCAACTGCTGAGTGGACAGAGGCCCAGTGGGATCAAGGTTCCCAACTCTGAAGCAATGTCTCAAGCTGGGCCCCTCTTCCCTTTTGGGGAGGTGTGTTTACAGACAGCATCTCCCATGCCACAGCCCACGGAGTGCTAGGACTAACACACTGGCCTTTTTTATTCCTTACAGGATGTGAGAGGCACCTTGAGCAGGTGAGTTTCATGTGAATAAGGGAAGGGGACTCTGGGTGGACAGAACTGAACAGGGCAGATCGGAGAGGAGTCTCTGCCTCTGCTTCTTCCAGGACTTGTGCTGTGAAGCTGGAGGTGCCTGAAGTCTTTCCCTTGGAGATTCACACTGTGTGTGATGTTGCTAAGCTTTACTTGGATGTGAAAGGAATCCTAAGACTCCATGAAGGTGTGTAACCAGGGGCTCCTTCAGTGCCGTCATGGGAGGGACAGAGGCTGTGTGGTTATTTTCAGCAGAGCTGCCTCACTGTCCCGGTCCTGTGTGCTCAGCTGTTATTTATCTGATTATGTACCACATCCTGATCATCTGTGGCTTCTTCCGGTTCCTGCTTTCCCTTGTGGTGGCCTTGTTACCCTCAGAAGCTCCTGCCATACAGTTTCCCTCTGAGAAATGAGTGCGTTCCCAGGTACCACTTTACTGAGTTGTTCTGAAAATTAACTTCTTCTCACGTGCATCCTGTCACCAGTGTCTGGCATAGGCTCAGAGCCACAGCATGGACTTAGATCTGACTGTAATACTTCTTGAACCTACTTTAGATTCTTAGCACAGTGCAAAAAGAAATATTGTGTGTTATATTTAAATTGAGGGGCTGAACTCACCCAATGTAGTGAAATGTTACAATCATGACAAAAACTATTATTGATGTATATCTTGGGTTTCCTTCTCCTTTTTTTTTTTTTCTGGTAATCACTGATTTTTATAGTTTCAAACATTTTTACCCACAGTTACCAATTTTAAAAAATTTGAAAAAGAGACATTTTATTATTACTCACTTGCCTATAAAAATGGAATGTACTTGAAATGACTTGGTGACTGTAGGAGTTATCCCTTATCATCAACCAAATTTCAAAATTACCTAAAGTGATAACAATATATTACCTATTGGTTTTTATGAGTCAGGAATATGGGCTCTTTTTGGGGTCTCTGGAGGGTACAGTGGAGGTGTCACCAAGCTGGAATCTTACTAGACACCTGCCTGGGGAAGGTCCCCTCCCATTCTTACTTAGGTTGCTGGCAGGATTCATTTCCCCTTGGGTAGTAAGATGTAGAGTTATAGATTCTGGCTGGCAAGACAGACTGTAAGTTATGAAACAGGATCATAAGAATTACATCCTAACATTTTTTCTATGTTCCACTCATCAGAAGCAAATCTCAGGGCTTGTCCACATGTAAAGGGAAGGAGTTTTACATGAAAGCAGGAGGCAGGTATTGCCCACCCTCCTTGAGTCTGCCCCAGGGAACTCATCTGAAGTGTACTTATGTGAGGCTATTTGAATTCTCACTGTTTCCATGTACACTGAATATACAGTTTTCTGCAGAAATACTGATGCTTTTGGTAACAGGATTCTGCAATAGACTCTGCATAGAGGAGATGAAATTTAGGGAACAGGATCTTGAGGCAGAAGTGTTGATCTTTGATATGCAGATCATGATGTTCTTAGATCCTAAGGAAAGTGAAATTATACCTCTTCCTACTCCAGGCACAGAAAAACAACTGATACTCCACATCTCCCTGATTTTTGCATATAATTTATAAATTTTGCCCATGTGATAGACTTGAAATGTTGCCCAATTGTGCACTTAATTTCATAAAATTTCACTAGTGAGGTTGAAGTTTGTTTTATTTGGAATGTGTATCAGCTCATCAAGCTCCTCTGGTTTATCTGTGATTTTCAGTGAGAAGAGCTTTGTTACATTTCAGATCTGCTCCTGTAGAAAGTGACTCCATATGTTTTATTAACATTCTTTAAGCCTGTTCTTTTCCGTCTCCTACAGCTTGCTCAGTTATATTGCGTTCAGTGCATAATTGACTCTGTACAGTTGAGAATGAAACCATCCTATGGTCCTTTTTATTTACTTATGGAGAGAGAGAAAAAGCAATACTTCTCACAATATGTAGTATATTTAAATCAAAATTTAATTGACAGATATAAATTATATGAAGAATGTATTTTGATAACACTGCAGTTAATATATAAAGGATTGGCTTTAGTTAATGTAAAATGTTCAGATATATGAGAAGTATAACATATGTTGTATTGTTCATATATTTGAAGCATCTGCATGATGTTATTGCGTATATAACACATACATAGGCATATATGTTTGCATGCTTGATGCATTATTTATATAGTTTGGTGTATGATTTCTTCTTGTGTGTTATGTGGTTATGAAGTGGAGATGAGGAAGGAAATCCCACTGTTGTCTGATCCATCAAGGCTGAGAGGGGAGAAGAAGGGCGTTGGACAGGAGAGAAATCATACTCACTCTAGTTAGCTCTTACCCTTGGCAACTCTGAATGACTAAGATGGTGTTGATGAAGATAATGGTATTAGTGATATTATTCTTACCATAATTTATTAGGAAATTAAGTCTTACCGGGAATTTCAAGCAAATATTAGCTCCTTGAATTCTTGCTACTGTTCTCTAAAACAGATATGATGAGTTTCACTTTATAGTTTGCTCACATAGCTAGATAGAAGTAATCACTGAATTTGAAAACAGATTGTTTTGTTTACAAATTTTCAATACCAAAAAAGTTTGATTTTATTTATTTGTGTTCTTGCAGTGAATGTGACTCTGGATTCAGATACAGCTCATCCTGCCCTAACTCTGTCAAAGGATCGGAGACAAGTGGCTCATGGATGCAGCCGGCAGAATCTTAAATTTTCACCTGGGAGATTTACTGCCTTCCCCTGTGTCCTGGGGTGTGAGAGCTTCAGCTCAGGAAGACACTTCTTCGAAGTGGATGTTGGAGAAGGAACAGCTTGGGATGTGGGAGTCTGTATGGAAAATGTGGAGCGGGGCCTCAACATGAAGCAGGTACCTGAGCTGGGATTCTGGGCCATCCGACGGGGCACACAGAATGGTTATGTAGCACTGACCTCTCCGCACATTGCCCTTGAGCTGCGTGAGCGCCCTCTAGTGGTGGGGGTTGCTCTGGACTATGAGGCTGGAGCTGTGTCCTTCTATAATATGACCTCTGGCTCCCACATCTTCACCTTCCCCAAGGCTTCCTTCTCTGGTACTCTGCGGCCCTATTTCCAGGTGAATGAAACTTCTCCTTTGTCCTTGCTTTCCTGTGTCATGTGAGTAATTTATTGTTAACTTGAGTGGGGATGCCCAGCTGAATCGAGTCAGCATAGTTCTGGGTGTGGAAAACCCACTTAAGGAAGAGCATTGTGAGAACAGTATAAAAGGAGAAGGGGACAGAAGGATTTCACCTGATCCTCCTTGGAAGAGCTTCAATACGACTGCTTTTCTTTGGAGGCACCCTAGCTGTTTTGGTTGTTTGGGGAAGTTTCACTTCTTGTCTTCATCTTGGACAAGGTCTCCTGGCTGCCAGTATAGATTCCTCAGCTTTCTGACAGCCTTTTGCTACAGGAACTTCAGCTTCCAGAACCGGCCTTCGGACCTCTCCAAAGCAGACCCTTCAGTCTTCCCATCCTCCGATCCTTCGCCCTCCGAATACAGACTTCCACATGGCATTGCCTTGGGCTGCAGGCCTTCAGCTGGATCCTTTGGGTCTGCAGTGTGTGGAGAGATGTTTTGCACTCATCTGACTTTAGTAAGCATTGACTAATACATGGTGGCAAGAAAAAATCAAGTTGCCCGTGTTTTAAACTGGACAAAAAATATGTAAATCTCATAAGAGCAGAAATTTGATTAGTTTCTTCATTTCTGTTTGTTCCATATCTAGAATGCAGTTGTACCTTTGGAGGATAATTTAAGAAATCTGTATTGAATTAATGGCTATAAATACTATAAGAATAGCACAGGTGGCATGCCTGGCTGAAGAGAAATAAAGTATGTTGATTTAATATCATCCTTTGAGTCTCTGTCTAGTGGGTTTGGGGCTCTGATTTCTGATAATCACTGTTTGATGATTTGGGTGATTCTGTGGCCAAGAGGATCCCTGCATTCCCTCACGATTCTGAGTGCTTTAGACTCCTGTGTGGGGTACATCAAGAAAATCAAAATAGCAGAAACTTCTAACCACTGACATGTTGCAGCAGTCCTGATGTCTCCCAGAGCCAGTAAGCTTTCCTGAGACATCTCCAACTTAAGTGTAAGAAAAAAGCCACAATTTTCTTGTGAAGAAATGCTTCTGATGGAAAATGGAGTGTGAGTAAAGAACTGATTTTGATAAGGGGACTTAGTTCTGGAAAAGAAAGAAATTATTTTATTCTAGACGTGTTAGAGTCAGCTCTATTTGTATATATTTAAATTTCGGTAAATAGCATTTGCTAGAATAATTTTCAGCAGGCTTATGTCCTAATTATAATCAAAGAGTACTGTTATTTATAATTGGGTTTCTTATGAAAAATAACTTAAAATTAGACTTAATGGACACACTTGAAGGAGTAACGACAATGAAGTCAGCCAAAGCCCAGATAGCCTTATAATGCTGATGACTAAAAGTACAAAATTGCTGAATATTATAATTCAAGATGGCATAAAAATTGATATTTGCTGATGTTATCAGGGTCCTCTGATGACATCTAAGAATCGAAGGAAGGAATCCAGAGCTGTTTGTGGAGGTTTGTGGGACCTCTATCTTTGCCCAAAAAGACCTAGAAGAGGTCAGGTCATCTCCCAGGCTTCTGGTGTCAGAAGTCCATCTGGAACAGGAAGATACGGTAAAAAAAAAAAAAAAGTCTTGTTCTCCTCCATTACTTAATCTTAATGAAAACATGAATTAAGTTATCCCTTTTGGAACCTTCATTATTCTAGAGAAGTAAAAACTTGGTTTTAGAGAGGAGAAAGAAGAATTTTCAGTAGTGGGTGGGCCTTGCTCCTGAATGGTGGATCTGAATCTCTGCAGCACTTTGGGTCTTATGGAGATCACTTTAGTGACCTACTGACACCTAGCCTGCTCCACACAAATTAAAGGAGAAGGAGGTGAGGGAGGTCCAGAAAAACACTTCAGCTCTAGAGTGACACAAAGAAGGCCTTGGCCCAGGGTGCCACCAAGGTTCAGTTCCTTGGTCTTGCCCAAGTGCTTGCTAACTCAGATAAGCCTCAACAATATTGTCAGCCTGTCCTCTTCCCTTGCTGCCTGTGCTCATGGGTTCCTGCATGTGTTGAAGTGGGCCTACCCTTGGGATTGGCCAGGCCTCGGGGTGCAGGACCTCAAACAGGGAAATCCAAGGACCTTGGATGTCCTCCGCTGGAGCAGAGCTGGGAGAAGGACTTGCGAGGGGCCCTGACCCTTGGTCTCCTGCTCTGTGAGCTCCAGCACCCTCTGGATGTTCCAGAGTAGGACTAAGATGGGTCTATGCACAGCATGGTATACTAAGAGCTTAGAAGGGGTTTTAAAATACTCTCTCCTTACCACCGTCACAGATTTCGGGCAACTTGTTAAAGTTCTGAAATGACAAGTCACAAGTTGATTTCTTAAAAAGCTGTCTGCTGTGTTTTGTTTGAATGCCAACTTGTTCACAGGGAAACGGATCACAACAGGAAGCCCTGGGAAGAACCACCTCCTCCTCAGCCTTGTGGGTGCCTTCTGCAGTTAAGCAGGCTTTCCTTGGCAGACATCAGTGGAAAAAGCACAAAAATGTCATAGGCTGTTTGCATTCAGCCTCCTGATTTCTAAATGTTGACATGTCACTATATTTGCTCCAGATGCACTTCCAAGAAATAAAATGTAACAAAATGTCACCAAAGAAAGGTCTCATCCCTGTACCGCATGGAGGCACCAAAGAGCCTGAAAACTGGAAGTATTCCCTCAGTATCTGTTTTCATTAGAAATACTACATTAAAAATTAGAAATACTACATTAGAAATACTACTGCATGTTGGACACATCACATGATTTAAGTGGATGGTCAGAGAAAGGCAAGTCAGTATCTGTCCATTTCTGTCTCTCCTGACTTTTATATGTAACCTTTTCTCATTCGCTTTTTCTTGCCATGGCGCTGGTTTTATTTCAGCTCTGTAGAGTCCCACATCAGAGCCCATGGCATAGAGTGAAGTCCTGCCACAGTGCAGGATCTGCTGCTCCTCAGCGTGGACTGGAGAGCTGCCAGCTCCCCCGTGGCTCCTGGAGAGTGTGTGTGTGTGGGGGGGGGGTAGGTTAAGATCCTTCTGTGTAGCTGTATCTCCCTTGAGTCTAATGGCCCCCAACTGCTCCTCTGGGGTGTGACCCCTGTCTTTCAGTGGAGTTTTTCTCCCTGTCCACGAAGGACCCCAAATTTCAACAATAACTAAGCCTACGAGGTATATCTGTACCAGGCTGTCAACAATTTTCCGATATTCTCTTTGTCTTTTTTATTACTGTGACTTTGTCATGCAGAAGGGGTGATCTCTTTAAACTGTATTTAACATGTTTTATCATTTTGGGGGCTTTTGTTGTGTGTAAATTTTGATAACTGTTTATTCTCTGATTCCATGAGATTGTTTTTCCAGATGATAACAAACATAGAATTATTTCTTTATAGAATTATTGTCCTTTAAAACATTTCACCCTATTTGCCTACTTTGCTTTTTACTGTTTTTTTGTTGTTGTTTTTTGATTAAAAATCTGTAATTTTATTTTTGAAATAACCATCTTTAACTTTGTTAATCTCCTTCAGTTTTTGTGTTTTCTCATCACCAATTTAAACCTTAAATTTTACCACTTCTTTACTCTTCTTTTGCTAATTTTTTCATTAACTTAAATTTAGTAATCAGATTATTTAATTTTAATTTTTCATTTTTCTCAAATGATATATAAGACCTTTTCTAGATATCATTTTTAAATTTGATAATGTGGTAAATTGCCTTCATTGATATTCTAACATCAAACTATCTTTATCTTTTACAGATTTCAGGATGTAATAACATATTTTTGTAGCCGGGTGTGGTGGCTCATGCCTATAATACCAGTACTTGGGAGGCTGAGGTGGGAGGATCTTTGAGAGCTTGAGACCAGCCTGGGCTACAAAGTGAGCTCAAAGTCAGCCTGAACTACATAGTAACACCCCCATCTAAAAAAAAAAAAAAAAAAAAGACAAAAAACAACAAGAACAACAACAAAAACCCACATATTTTTGTTTGTATAAATGCCTTTGTGCACTTAATCTTTTCACAAATGCTCATTTTGTAGTATTTTGATTTTGCCTATGAAGCGGAGGCAGGCCTTTATTTTCAGGATCTCTCTCTGGGATTATCAGTTAAATTAGCATAGAAGAAATTTAGAAAACTATAAAAGCAGAAGACTTTTTCCTCTGTTGTCTGGAGACTGAGTCTATGAAATAAACTAACAGCAGGCAGAGTAACAGGAGAAAAGGGCTCCAAACTTGTTCAGATAGGAAGGGTGCATTTCCTGAAGGAAAATGACATCCAGAAACCAAGTGAGTCTCCAGGCCTACATTTCCTTTTCACAGAGCATGAAATAGAGGAATAAAGTCTACATAAGGAAGTAAATTATTTGGAGAAAGATAGATGAGCCAAAAGCATGATAAACATGTAGGAGAAAGCTGGCCAAGATGATGGGACCCTTGGGACACCTGTCCTGTCATGTGAGTTTACCACAGGATACATACAAAAGAATAGATGTCAGTGTTTATTATAATATCAGAAATAATCAGTAGCAACGACCTCATTGTGAATTCAGTCAGTGCTTGAAGCTTTGAGCACACGGTGTGGGGATGAACAATTCCTGTAGGTCCAGGATGGAGGATGCTTCATGAGGAAAGAAGAACAGCTCCAGAAACTGATAGAGCTTTTAAAAAAAAACCTGTTTGAAATTAGTCTTATTCAACATACTGATTATAGAAAATTGACAAAGTAGTAAGACAGGTCAGTTAAATGCCTACTCATAGACAAGCCATTTTAATCATTTGGCATACACATTTCTGTTTTTGCTTTTACAGCACTAGGAGTTGAACCCAGTGCCTTTTCTGACTTACATCTCCAGACCTTCTTTTTCATATTTCATGTTGAAATAGAATCTTAATAAGCCACTAATTTTCCTTGGACTCAAACAGCAATCTTTCTGCCTCAGCCTTCCAGAGATTACAGACATGCACCTCTACACTCAGGTACATTGTTTCTCTTTTTCTTTTTAAATCTTTTTTATTTTAAAGAAACAAAAGAAAAAATATAAATCAAGAAGAAAACACACCTAAAAAACAACAATAAAAGTAAAATGACAAGAAAAAAACAGCTACATACAGATTTTCAAACCAAGATGATAGGAATTTAACAATGGTTGTGATACTGCACATTGCTATCTTCAAAGTAGTTGCTCAGGCCATTATGTATAGGAATAAAACAAAACAGTAAAATGGAACAAAACATTGGATTTCAAAAGCAAGATGGGGGGAAATTCCCATTGTGACAATTGTCACAATGCACACTGCCATCTTCCAAGTAGATGCCCCCAACCACCTGCCCCAGGCCCGCAAAGACAACCAAGCAATACAAGCATCAAGCTGTTCCTTTCACCTCGTTGCTATCATCTCACCCAGAGTCCTACGAATCAGTCACTTACTGCAGGGCAGGGGGCAGGGATGCCGTTCTGGTTTCCCAGGCCACACACTGGCTGGCTCATGGGACAGCATGGTTCTGCTTCTTGCTGAGTCTCTTACCTATCTGCATGGCAGAGCCTGCTTCACAAGAAGGCATAGTTCTGCTTCTTGCAGAGTGTCTAACCAATCTGCATGGCAGAGTACATCATGTTTTTCATGGAATTTTTAAGTAATTATATTAAAATGGGGTCCTATATTTTAATAGGTGCCTATTTATTTATTGCATAAATATGACATTCATTTTATTCATATCTTACTTTGTTTATTCAAACATATAGTTTTGTTTATTCATACTTTATACCTTTGTTTAGTCACACTCCATATAAATGTGGCATATATTTTATTTATTCATCTCTTATGTAACATACATTTTGTTTATTAATACCTTTATCCATCCAAACATTGCTGTCCCTTACATTCCCAGTCATGTTCTTATGCACATAAGCAAGGAAGAAATCAGTAGGTGTCAGAGGACCTAACTGCCTGCTGAACTCCAGACATCAAAGAGCTGTCTGGGCAACACATTTCTCTGTACCTCTTCCTGCACACTCTCAGCATGAAGTGGAATTCTCCTATTTTAACTTGGGTTTCCTGTTCTGTTGAAAATTATTGACCATTTTTAGCTATTTTTTCTGTCCATTTTCTGTTGATATATATTTGCCCAGTATCCTTTTGGGCTGTTCACTATTTTTTAACTTATTTTTTACTAGTAGCTGTTGGTGATACATAATGAATGCATTCAAAATAAAGAACTGGTATATTTACGTATCACATTTTAATACTTTTCACTTTCCCTTTTCCTCCTCTCCCTTCCATCTTTCCTCGTTCCCAGATCCCCTTCACAAAGTCTGTCAATTATCTTTTTTAATAAAATTCATCTATTAGTGCACGTTCGCAATACCTAACACCTACTTTGGCTTGGGTATTTGGTAATACGTACCTGACACATCATAATTCTCTTTTATATTCCTTCCCGCTCTACCTCCCCTGCTTTGCCATTTCTTGATCCTTATCCCATTTGCAGATCTATCTCCCTGTTTCCTTTCATCTGTCTTTTTATTTTGTACTTTATTTATACTTTGGGAATCTCATAAGGGAGAAACCGCGTGGTATTTAAGCTTGTTGTGTCTTATTTATTTCATTTAACCTTATGATTTCAAGATGCATCCATTTTCTTACAATTGAAACCAATATGGAGAGTCTTCAAAAAATTAAAACTAGAAATTTCATTCAACCAAGCTCTTCCCCTACTAGATATCTTCCCCAAAGAGCTAAAAAGTTATATTACAGTGACCTATGCATACTCATGGTTATCCCAGCATAACTCATTTTAACTAAATCTTAGAAACTGTGAATATTCATCAAAGGTGAATGGAAAAAAACATGGTGTTTATACAATGGAATACTACTCTGCTATAAAGAAGGATGGATTTATGTCATTTTTTATTTCTTGAATGACTTTATAAGGTCTTTATACATTTTGGATTCCAGTTCATAGTCAGCTATCTATCAACATTTCTAAAAGCATATTATCTCTTAAATGTGATTAGAATGACCCTTGTTTTATAGATCATTTTAGTTTTGGTTGGTGAAAATTTAACAGTATATGTCTAAACCCCTTGTTCTTGCTGAGCTTAAAAGATTTGGTTCTTTTTTAAGGTTGTATAAACTTTCTTTACTTTTCTCTGTAATTTTAAAAGATTTCCTTATATGTCTCTTCATTAGATCCAGGATGGTTTGTGTATGTTGTGGAGTAGAGCTATAATACTCTCTTGATTCCCTATGGAAGCTGGTTTTGCAGTCTGAGTTACTGAGTCTTTTCTCCACCAAGTTTGATGATATAGTCTGTGTGCTACAGTCTGTGTTTTACAGTCTGTTTTCTAGGACTTCTGTTGCATTGTATACATCCCCTCACCTACTTCTGAATCAAGGCTAACTTCTGTTGGGGAAACAAAACACTTGTCCACCAAAGCCTTTCTGGGACCTCCTGTCCACATGGTCAGCAGAGAAGGCACTGAGGCAAAGTGAATGACAGGCCCTATCAGTATGGCATAATCCAGGGTTCAGTAATATATTCTTGATCGGTGAATTCTAACAAGCAAGGATATTGAACACTCGGTGGCATGAAGTTACTGCTCAATAAGTATTAGTCACCTTGAGATGGATTTTTGCTATTAGCTTCTGGGGTTTCCCAGGCAAAATTATCCACTATACACCTCAGTGCACCTCTGAGCAGGCTTTGGTGAACCATTCAGCCTGTAACATGGGAATCTGAAAAGCTATCTTTACACAAGCATTTCTTTTGCACTTATGTTAAATGCCTCCTCCATTGAGGCTGCAGATGTGGCAAGGTCCTATGCCAAAATGATAATCTGTTATTTGCAACACACACACACACACACACACACACACACAAAGTCTGGCACTGGAGAAGCTGGGGCTGAGTCCCTCTGAACTTGATCTATAACCCTACAAGCTTTTCTCCACAGTGCGTAGAACAGATTAATGCAGCCCAGGGCCCCGGGGCTTGAGTCAGATATACTCATTGCTGGGCCATTAGTGAGTCCTTCTTGCTGTCCTGCCTGGGTGCCTTGGAATTCTGAAAAGTAGCTGAGTCCTGCAGAGGGACAGTGAGAAAAGAAGACTCAGCACCAACAGGGAGGAGCAGGAGGCTGGCTTGGAAGACGTGAGGCCAACGACCCTGATGTGTTTCCTTCCCTCTCCACACTTAGTGAGAGCACTGAAAACCATAAGTCACTTAGAAAGAGCTAAAAATATCACAGGTTAGGAGGTTTGTGGCTTCCAGGAGAGACTAGAACAAGACAAAAAGATCTCACGTGGGAGCTGTGAGCTGCGTTTCCTCAAGCCTCCTACTCCTTTAGGGCCTGTGCTCAGCCACAGAGAGTTATTAGTGTGTGTCCTGTGTTAGCTACTTTTAAAAAGCCTGCTTTCCTTACGTCCCCTGCTCCCTTTCTGGACAAGCTGAAAACAAGCAGTCTTTGCGGCTCCAAATCTATGACTCCACCTCCTGCAGCAGCAGTTTCACTTTTGAACGGTCTCGGCTCCAGGAAGTGGCAGTTATTCCAGGAGGATCAGCAGCAGGTAGGGGCCCTGGGTCTTCCCACAGGCCCAGGAGGGGCCGGCAGGTGGTAAGTCAGGGAAGGGGTGGGTGTTTGAGGGCTCAGTGGAGGTGCACAGAGTGTTTCCCAATAGCAGAGTACCCTACTGTTTACCCCAGGAAGGGCCAGAGAATCTGCTCAGAGAAAAATTCACCAACCCGACTTCCCACATTCTGCTCTCCTCACAATCTCCCCAGGGTGACGTGGGCTTGTGGGGCAGAGATGGATGGATTCACAGAAATAGCTACTGTAAGAGACAAGGAGACAGACGTGGTTGCTGTCCCACCTCCCCAGTGCCTTGTTGTCAGATCCTCATTGGTGGACACAGAGTCCCCAGCACATGTCTCCCAGAGGGCTGATACCTAGCTCCTTTCTGCATCCCTAGTCCAGATTGTTGCCCTCTCCCTGTACTCCCAACACTTGCAACTTTCCTCAAGGAATTTTCCAGAGCTCTGTCCCCATGAATAATTGAGTCCCACAACCTACCTTTCCTCTACTCTCCTCTTTCTAGTTCTGTTCCTGTCAGTTTATTCAGTGGTCACAGAAAGTTGCCAGTTGCCTTGGTTTCTTTTATTCAGGCCTGATTGTGTCTGCACCAAAACTGTATAAACTTGAGTTTTGTGACATGTGTGAGGTGGGATAGGGATTCACATGAAATCCAGTTTGATTGTCTAAACAGAATCCTCCATAAACCACCCAAGTGACGAGTGTTTGTTAGTACCAATTATAAGGAGAGTCAGCACAGAACAGGCTGGAGCAGGAGGCTGGCTTGGAAGATGTGAGGCCGAGGACCCTGATGTGTTTCCTCCCCTCTCCACCCTCAATGAGAGCACTGAAAACCATAAGTCACCTAGAAAGAATTAAACTGGATAGCTATCCCTGATGCTTATTAGAATGGGAAGGAATTTCATATTCCCTCACTGAGCTGTAACTTCTGTGAGGAAGACTGCCATCATTTTCCATCTTTCTCAGCCTCTTCAGAATTTTACACTGTGATAGAATGTTCTATGTCCAAGCTGGTGTGTGTGTGTGTGTGTGTGTGTGTGTGTATTGCTAAGTTTGGATCCTTATGGGCATTCCATATAGTATCAGTCAAGTGCTCTGCCACTGAGGTACATCTCCCCCTATTTTATTATCATCATTATTTTGCTTTTATTTTGAGATAGCATTCTCTAAATTGCTAAGATTGGTTTTGACCTTGTGATACTCTGTATTACCTGCCAAACAGCTGAAAGTACAGATATTGACCGCCATATCAGGCTGGACTCTTCTACAGCTGCTAGTCACGGGGGATTATTCGGGAAATGTGTGTAGCAAGACTGAAAAACGATTTTAAATTTCATTAGATTAAATTTGAATGACCACACATGACTTCAGTTTGTTTATGTTCTAAACTCCAATCTGTTTCTTCCTTCTAGAGAGAAGTCTTCAACCTCTGGAGGCCAATCCCAGCCAGATCCTGGTACGCAGGCTCAGGAGAGGTGATTTCCATCCCTGTGGAAATTCTCCTTACTCTTCTTCACCTCTAAATCCAACATTGCTGGTACTTGGGGAAAGCTATGGCCTCAACGATCATCACCAAGAAGATTAAAGAGATTGCCACCTGCTCCATCTGCCAGAACCTGATGATGAACCCAGTTAGCATCACCTGCGGACACAGCTTCTGCCAGATGTGCTTGGAGCAGCACCTTTACAAGGTGCAGCTCAGTCAGGGGAAGAATATATTCTGTCCTCTGTGTCATTCCCCATTCAATAAAGACAGCTTCCGGGCCAACAGGCATCTGGAAAGCATCATTGAAGTCTTTGAGGAGATGGACCATGAGTTGCAGTGTGAGGCCCACGGAGAGCAGCTCCAGCTCTTCTGCGAGGATGATGGCCAGCTCATCTGCTGGCGCTGTGAGCGGGCACCACAGCACCAAGGGCACACCACGGTGCTGGTGGAGGACGTGTGCCAGGGCTACAAGGTGAGTGTGTACCCAGGACCCAGCAAAGACCCACCCTGTACTCCTCCCTAGGCCCCAGAGGACTGACCAAAGACTAAGATGATGACCTTGAATAACATGGGATTTTTTCTAGTTGAAAAACAGCTTGCAATGGGTTTTTGCAGAGTCCAGTCCAAGCTGTCTATCCTGACATTCAGCAGGATGCTCAGACTTCTGTCCCTGTGGTCTGCGTCCCTGTGGACTTCTCCCTGTTCTGGGACATGGAACACCCTCATGGATTTTGTTTCCCACTGCATGTGTATTAAGGCCTCTTCAGAAGGATCTGGTCACAAAGGATCACAAAGGGGAAGAGGGCTCACTACCTGTGGGGACTATGTGTTCCAATAGAGACACAGGCCAGTAAAGTCACTACCTATAGCATCAGCCTTGGGCAGTGAGAGGGGCAGGGAGTAGTGTATTACAGAGATGACTCCTTAGGATGAATAAACTTAACCCCTGCAAGATGTTCCGACAGAGGAAATGGCACATGGTGCAAAAGCACAAACAGGAGTGCTCCTGCCTCACTGTGGCCAGGCCCCAGAGCGTGTGCAGAAGACAGGCAGGTGGAGAGAGTTGAAAAAGGGCAGGACCTAGGGGTCAGTTCCCAGTCTCAATCCTAGGTCAGTGTTATCTGCCACTGGACATTTTCACTTGAAGAATAAAAGGGCAGTAACTGAAAAAAACACCAAGAAACTCCTAAAATAAAATGAATTTTAAGATTAGAATTCTAACTATCCCATTAAGAAGGTAACAAGAAGGTAGTTTCAATCACAGCTCCAGAAAAAGGGACACAGAGTAGGAAATGAAGGGTGTGGGATGTCACTGGAAGGAGAGGTCTGGGCAGCTCCCAGGGGTCCCTACGGAGCTGGCCTGGGAGGTGGTGAGGGAAGGAGCAGGGTGGCCCTGCTGCACAGCTTTGCTGGAGCTGAGGGCCATGTACCCAGTGTGGGCTTCTGGTTTATCCTCTGTGACGCAGAGCTGGGCTCCTATGAGAACTCCACAGGAGTTAAGTCCTTTCCTGAGGGTGTTAAGAATTCATGAACATATTGGGCTTCCAGAAGGATGAAAGTAATCTTTCTTTCTTTCTTTCTTTCTTTCTTTCTTTCTTTCTTTCTTTCTTTCTTTCTTTCTTTCTTCTTTCTTTCTTCCTTCCTTCCTTCCTTCCTTCCTTCCTTCCTTCCTTCCTTTCTTTCTTTCTTTCTTTCTGTCTGTCTGTCTATCTGTCTTTCTCTTTCTTTCCCTCTCTCTTGCTTTCTTTCTTTTTCCTTTTTCTTCACTTTTGAAAGTGATGAACCATCAGCATCAACTTCAAATCACTTTCCAGGAAACTATGTGAAACCAGTTGTAAAAATAACTCAAAACCTCAGCATGGACACTAAATCCTTTTAGACTGACTTCATGATTCCCTTTTCCAAAATCTGTTAGAACTCCTTCAACTGTATTAGATGTTCCTAAATTTAATAATATCTTCATCGATCTGCAGCTCTCCTACAAGTCCCTTAAAGGTTCACATTTGCAAAAGAAATGCCCTGCAATTTGTATTGTTTATCTCGGCACATTAGTGCATAACATCTTGGTTTAGATAATTACTATATCTAATAACTAGCCCTATTTCCTTGATCATATTGTGATGTTGGACATGGGTCAGGCTCTGGTCAGCACAGCAGACACTGACCCACTGCTGACCAGTTACATCCCCCCTAAAGTGAGTTATTTATACACATTCAAGCCTCTTTTCCACACCTGTTTAGGTGGTTAGCGGATCCAGCAGGTTCTATTGCAAAGTGTAAGAGCTCAACAAATACTCAGTTATTTTAACACATCTCAGAGCACCAGGATTCCCTTTAGGTGCTTATGAATAATCACATTCAATAGACTTTCTTCATCCAATTTCTCTCTCAGGAAAAGCTCCAGAAAGCTATAACAAAATTGAATGAACTCCATACAGAATGTATGAACCAGAAAGCATTTGTGGCAACACAGATAACTGAGTGGCAGGTAAGAATCTGAGGTCATTTGTCTCAAATTGTTTCCCATTCTAGTGCTTAGGTGCAGAGATGGTGGTTTATTCTTACTGAACTTGACCATAAAAATGAAATCTAAAGGAAAAACAATTGTCTTGTGATGTGCTTTTTTCCTTCCATGAGATATCATCACCAAGGCCTTGAATTTTCCAATTCTAATTAGCTGAAATTCCTGATAACTCATTTAAAAGAAGTAGAATTGTGGTAGCCATATGAGTAGACAAATCGCAGCTTGATTTCGCATATTAACCACATCATCTAGTGTGCAGGCTTTAAACTTATCTATTGCATTTACAACAGGGGGGTCTGGCTGTCAGTTTTAGAGGTACAGAAAGTGCCTTGGAGAACATTCAGAAGGCAGGCTTTCTCCGGGTTGAGATACATAAAGCCAACAAAGAAAACCAGCTTGAGTCATAAAAACATTATAGCTGTGGCAAGAACCTCAGTACCTGCAAGCTGAAGGCTTTCAGACCATCTCTATGGCTCTCCAGGCTCCACAGTATCAGAGATACGTTCTTTTGTGGACCTATCTTTGGAACCCATCAGCTGTCAGTCCATGGACCCAGACCAGTGAGCCAGTCTGCTTCTTCCAGGGTCATTTCCACCTCTGCCTCCTTTATGTGTGGAGGGTGAACCAGAACTTCTAGAGATTGCTCTTCTGTTCCTCATTTCTGGGATCCTGGGCAGGGGTATAGTGAATATATATGGGAAATCCTTCAGTACAGGAGGAATCTGTTAGGTTCAGGCATCCTATGCATAGGAATGATTAGGGTGACCCTCAGCAGTTTACCACAGCACAAGGCTGCCATACTGGGACATTCCCCCATCAAGAATCAATGACCTTCCTTCTAACCTGAGTGCTTAAAAGATGGAAATTCGGGGGATAACTTTAGAAAATTCAGTCTTTCTGCATCTGAAGGGCCAACAGGGAGCTTGGTATTTTCAAAAATCTTGAGCAACTTGTGGAGAAGTTATATCACACTATCCAATGATACATTCATTTTCTATGTGTGGTAAAATAGACATAATGAGAGATTTACGATTTTTTCAATTTTTAAGTGAGGAGTTCAGTGATATCAAGATGGTTTTGAAACCATCACCCTATCCATCTCAGAACTTTTTCATATTTCAGCATAAAACTCTGTCTCCATTGGCTACTCCCACCACCTGGCAAACACTGATCTGCTTTCTGTCTCTACAAATTTAACTATTGTAGGTATCTGATTTAAGTGTGGTCTAAAGTACTTTAGTCTTTTCTTTCTGGTTTATTTCACTTAGCTTATATTAAGTTTTGATTCAAAGTTCATGCTTTTTATAGCATGGGCCAGATAGTTCTTCTTTTTAAATAACTACTTATAAAGAGTGCTCTTCATTATATACCGCATTTTGTGTAGCCATTTATGTTGTACAAATGCTTGTTTTTCTTTATACTATTGATCGAACTTTCTTGGTTCTAGGATACAGTAGAGACTCACAGACAAAAAATCAAGTCTGACTTTAAGAATCTCCATAGTTTTCTGCATGAGGAGGAGAAGTCTTTTCTTTGGAAGCTGGAGAAAGAAGAAGAGCAGATACTTACAAAACTAAGGGAGAGTGAGGCAAAGCTGGAGCGGAAGAGTGATGAACTTGAGGAACATAAGGTTGAGCTGGAGGCAAAATGTCAGGGCTCAGACCAGAACCTGTTGCAGGTGAGGCTGCGAACTTGGGGAAGGAAAGGAGGGTTCTGATACTGTGCTGCTGGGGGAGAATGGTCAGGAAGCATGGGACAGATGGGCAAGGCCTGCTTTCACTCCAGTGTGCACAGTAGTGGGGTAATTTAGGTAATTATTCTTTCATATTTTCATCAATATCATCAGGGAGCTCCATTAGTCTATGGCATGCCTTTATGTGAAATATAAAAGCACACTTCCCTATGGCATGGTGCTCCACCCCTGTAATCCCAGCTAGAGGGGACGTGCAGGTAGGAGCATTGCAAATGTGGTTTGGTGAGACTCACTATGAAATTAAAAGTACTAAAGTTGTTGGCTGGTGGTGGAGAACTTGCTTACATGGGTGAAACTCTGGGTTTAATCCCCAGTGGTGTGGGAAAAAAAAATTCTTCTCTAATGGATAGTTTATGTCACCATTTCCCCTTAGCCCAGGTATACAGACCCCTGTCTGCTTTTCTCTCCTAAAATACTTCTCCAGATGACAGATGGTGACAGTGGGGCAGCCCAAAGAGGGATAAAATTTTCCCTTATTTGTGGGTAGTGTACTTGTTACAGAGCTACTGTGGGGCTTCTTCCAGGTACATGAAAGACACACTCATTGAGTTAAACCCCTGCAGCTGTTAATTCTAGCTCCCTCTAGTGGGACTGGAGGCCATACTATTTGAAGGGGTAGTACACCTGCTCCACCCATGATACCAGCTGCCACCACCTTGGTGGCTTAGTCCTAGGAGCTGTGTGGGCATCCACCATAGAGGACTTCATGGTCTCTACATAAAGTCACTCTGCAGGTTATGAGGTCCCTGAGAGCCAGTCTTGCAGAAGGGAGGCTGAGCAAATCTCCACTCATGTTCCCAGCAGCCACAGGCTAATGCCACGGGGGCCATTGCTATTTCCCACAGGTTTCCCTGGCCACATCAAAGCCTCCTACTTCGTGGGCAAAGGCTGGATGGGATCATTGCTCCTGGCTTTGCAGCAATGTCTGAGGCTAGGTCCCTCTTTCTTTCTTGGGGAGTTTATTTACAGACAGTGTCTCCCATGCCACAGCCCATGGAATCCTGATGCTAACACAGTTGCTTTTTGTTCCTTGCAGGATGTGAAAAGCACCTTGAGCAGGTGAGTCCCATGTGAATGCAGGAGGGGAGGGTCTGGTGGATGAGCTGAACAGAGAGGACCTCTGAGGAGTTTCTGCCTCTGCCTCTTCCAGGACTTGTGCTGTGAAGCTGGAAACACCCGAGGCCTTTACCTTGGTGATTCAGACTGTGTGTGGTGTTGCAGAGCATTATTTGGATGTGAAGAAAATATTAAGACGTCATCAAGGTATCTAAGTGCAGGAATTCCTCAGTGCTGTCAAGCAGAGATTGTAAAGTTGTATTCAGTGAAGCTGTCATACTGTCCTTGTGCTGTATGCTCAGACACTGAATACATATTGCATCCTGATCACCTGTAGGACCTTCCAGTTCCTCCCATCTGCTCTGGTGATAGCAATTCCCATCACTCGCTTTGCACATCAGAGAAATGGGTATATTCACAGTTTTTATTTCATACAGCTGTGCTGAAAATGTACTGCATTCCCACATCTGGCAAGTGATAAGTTCCAGGGTGTGCTGTTAGATATGACTGGAATACTTCTTGTGATTATTTCAAATTCTTACAGAATGGCAAGAAAAGTATGTGAGTAGTATGAGTAGGTATGAATAGTTCTAGGACCTTGACTCATGTAACATAAACTTAGAACCACCTAGGAAAATAGGAATTAGTGCTGCATGCTAGAGTTTTCTTTTCTCTCTTTTCTGTTAAACACTGCTCTCTACAGTTGCAAAAGTTCATATCCATAATTACCAATTGACACAAAAGCTTTGGAAATTTTACCATTCATGTGACTACAAAATTGGGTCTAACTTGAAATGATTTGGTGACTGTATGAGTTATCTATTACTTCCAACAAACTACTAAAATTATGTAAAACAGTACAAATGTGTATCACAGACTTTGAGTCAGGAATTGGGCACAACTTGGGGAGGTCCTTTTCACAGGGTCTCAGGAGGCTGCCACGAGGTGTGGCCAGGCTGTGTTCTCATCTGGACACTTGTCTGGGGAAGGTACCATCCTTGCTCTCTTATCTGCTGGCAGGATTCATTCCCCTTGGGTTGCAGGATGTAGGACTCTGGCTTCTTGCTGGCTGTGGCTGGAGGTTGCCTCAGCTCCACAGGCCTCCTATCAGCTCCTTGCAAATGAGGGTTAAACATGGCCAATTATTTTTCAGCATAAAGCCAAGAGAAAGATTCATCATAGCAAATCTGCTGGCAAGATGGGGTATAAACAATGAATCATAGTCACAGTAATTATATTCCCTCATCTTACTCTACCCTGTTGATCAGAAGCAGTTATCAGACCCTGCTCACACTTAAGGAATTGTACAGGAGCCTGAACTCCAAGAGGGTGGCTTCAGGGTTAGGTCCCTTGACCTTGAGCCTGTCTGCCCCAGTTTACTTGTCTGAGCTGCACTAATAATGAAACTAACGTCCTTTATCTCACTTACTTCGCATAATTTTTACTTCAGAAATGTTGATGCCTTTGGTCACAGGATTCTGCCTTAGGCGTTGTAAAAGGAACACAATTTAGTGATCAAGACCTTGAGGGAAAGTGTTGCTATCTGAGATTCACATCTTAAGATCTAGATCCTATGGATCATGAGACTGTACCTCTTCAGTTGAAAAAATAAGAGAACACATTTCTGCTCCACATTTCCCTGTTTCACCGTGTGTAACTTGTAACTTTTGTCTAATGCATTTGAAGTGGTACCAGTTGTACTATTAATTTCAGTTTCTCCTGTTTTATCAGTGAGGTTGAGGGGTTTTTTTCTTCTTGGTTGTTTTGTTTTGTTTTATATATCTATCAGCCCTTCAAATGCTCTGGTTTATCAGTGATTATCTGTGACATGACAATTTACTTTCCAGTGTTAAACCCCAGTTGTTGTTAGGACAAATGAAATTTATGTTGTTAGGATAAATGAAATTTATAAATATGTATTACATTTGATAGCACAATTTAAAGGTAATGTTCAAGTCATTATTGTACATGAATCATGTGTCCAGACAAAAGCTGGTTACCTAGAGTAGCTGATGTAAATCTAGCTACTGTAAATATAACCCATGGGACAATGAGGAATCCTGATATCATAAAAGTAGGTAAAGAAAATTTAGCTGTCAGTTGTGGTCTAAGAGTATTAGGATCCTAATTGTGGTGTGGAAGACATTTGCTAAGTAGGTGAGGAAGGTTTTCTTATGCATCAAACCTGCTGATGTGAAAAGTGAGGTCCTGTATTTCATGAAAGTTCCATAAGCACAGTCTGTTTCCTTAGCATACTCGCTGATCTGCTAGTTCTGTAGCGATGCACTGAATGTTTGCCCTACAGCTTGATTTGTCAAGTCACTAATGAAACCATCCCTCTACTGATTGTATTTACATCTGAGGAGAGAGAAAACTACACCTCTAACAACATGTAACATATATAGACACAAAGTTTAATCCATACATATAAAATATATTGGTTGCATGTTTTTAATATAATGTATATTATGTATATAAAAACAAAATGGGTAAATATAGAGAGGACTGGATTTTAATTTATATATTATAAAACATAGTAGGTGTGCCACATTTGTTGTATTATAAATATTTTAAATAATATGCATGTATATGGATACAGCATTTGATTAGTTATTTATACTGCTTTTACACAATTGCTCCCTGCACATCTACCTGGCTATGAAATGGAGGTGGAGAAAGGCCTTCTGCGCTCCACTGCTCAATGACCCTGGAGGTTATCAGGGGACAAGAGGGGTTTTGGACAGGATATACCCATGTTCTGCTTACTTATGGTCGTTGGCAACTCTGAATGACTAAATAATAACAATGATGATGGAAAAGTAGGAAATTGCTGCATCCCAGGAGTTCTACTAAAAATAGGCAAAAAATAACTCAGTGGATTCTCCCCAACATTCTCTGCAGTAGATATTAAGGTTTTTACTCTATAGGTATACCTGACATAACTAGGAAAAAATAATTATTGGATTTGAATACAGGTCGGTTTTATTTAAAATAATGTTCTCAGTATAAAAAGAAATGTTTGGTTTTATTTATGTTACAGTTAGCGTGACTCTGGACCCAACTACAGCTCATCCTGCCCTGATTCTGTCTGAGGATCGGAGACAAGTGTCTCGGGGATGCAGCCAGCAGAATGCTGAAGTCTCTTCCAGGAGATTTACAGCCTTCCCCTGTGTGCTGGGCTGTGAGGGCTTTAGCTCAGGAAGACACTTCTTCGAAGTGGATGTTGGAGAAGGAACAGCTTGGGATGTGGGAGTCTGTATGGAAAATGTGGAGCGGGGCCTCAACATGAAGCAGGTACCTGAGCTTGGATTCTGGACCATCCGACGGTGCCCAGAGAATGGCTATGTAGCACTGACCTTTCCCCTCACTGCCCTTAAGCTGCGTGAGCGCCCCCTGGTGGTGGGAGTTGCTCTGGACTATGAGGCTGGAGCTGTGTCCTTCTACAACATGACCTCTGGCTCCCACATCTTCACCTTCCCCAAGGCTTCCTTCTCTGGTACTCTGCGGCCCTATTTCCAGGTTTATCAGCATTCACCTTTGTTCCTGCCTCCATGTGGTGAGTAGAGAAAGGAGTAAAATCTCCTTGGTTTGAAAATGTGGGAATTCCATAAGGGCAGAATTTGGCCAATTTTCCTCATTGCTATTTCTCCAGCACCTAGAGTGGTGTAGGGTTTAGGAGGGTATTTAATAAATCTTTATTGAATTAATGTATCTAAAGACTGTAAAGATAGCATAGACAATCAGTGTGAGTGAGGAGAAAGCAAGATAAAGTGAGGATTACTCATTGCACTCTGCACCCTCTTCAGTGCACTCAGAAACTTGATTTGCAGTGCGGATTGGTGGATGAAAGAGACTTTCCATTGTCTGCTTACTGCAAAAGAGAATATAGAAATCAAAACAGCAGTGACTGTTGCAACCACTGACCTGTTGACTGGAACTGCAGTCCTAGACACTTCCAGACTGTGAGCTTGCCTTGGGATTCACCACATAAAGGTTTGAGAAAGCTAAGGTTGGCTTCAGTTGGAAAATGGACTATGAGTAAAAATGAATCTCAATAGAACTGAGTTCTAGAAGAGATGGGGATTGGTCTTCTCTAGACCATGCTAGAGCCAGCAGTCATTGCAACAATGGTGTCCACAAGTGGACCTTGAAATTCCCTGTTCGTTGGAAAGCTGCCAGTCAGATGTTGTTTGCTTGTGAAAGTTTCAGCTTGAATGCTGATAATTACATGTTCACACTGCTGATCACCCAGATACACAAACCTCAACTATCTGTGGTGGGGTGCGATCAGCTCCAGACTAGTTCCTTAGGGTCCACAACTCATGTTGACACTCTAGAGCACTTTAGGCTCATTTTAAAAACAAAAAGTCCCACAGCCACCAGTATCATGAGAGATCTGACCATGCTCTTATTAAAGAAGACAAGAGATGGCATCTGATTCCCAGAAATCTCTCCTTCTGATAACAATTCTGAGCACAACTTGTGTATCACATCCCCTCCTGAGTCCCCAAAAATAGATACTGCAGACAGACCTGCTGGGCACAAGCTTCCTTGAGAGGGTTAGCTCCTCTTCTCTATTTATGAGATAGTGAATAAAATTTTCTCCCTGTTCCCAGAACTATCTGCTTATTTACTGAGGGTATGGAGTAGATAAATAAACTGCTGTTCAGTGAGCAGGAGATACACTGAGCCCTGTGTCTGGAGACTCATGATTAAGAGAGGAGAGGACTCTTGTTCTGTGAAACTCTGCCTTCTGTTTATGTATTGTTTTCTTTATCTTCTATTAGACACAAATTCCATATGTCCTGTCAACATTCAATAACCTATAAGAGTTCCCACTTTTCCTTTCTGGTGACACTGTTTTAGAGTTATATGAACCTGTGTGATCTGAGTTTCAATTCACTGGACTACAGCAAGTTATAAGAAAGAATAGGACCTGCTTATCCACCATATTTAATATTTAAGGCTATCATGGGTTAAGTTTGCCTCTTCTCTGGTCCTTCATTACTTTTAAAAGGTAAAAACTTGATTTTAGATATGAGAAAGAAATGTTGTCACTAATCTATGGGACTCGCCCCAGACCAAAGGATTAGGACCTATGTAGTTTTGTGGGTTCTCTGGAGAGCACTTCCATAACCTACTGAAGCCCAGCTTGCTCCAAGAAAATTAAAAGGGACTTGGTTGAGGGGTGCAGCAGGATACTGATATCCTGAAGCTCTGGAGTGATGCTAAGGAGCTTGACCCAGGGCTTCACCAGGGGTCAGTTCCTTGGTCTTTCTCAGGACCTCCCCTATTCCAGGGAAGACACAAAAACATCTGTCCTCTCTCCCATGATCCCTGTCCTTATGGAGTCCTGCATGTGTTCAAGGGGCCTCTCCTTGGGCTGGAGAAAGGAGCCACCAGGGCTGCAGTTGTCCACAAGTGGAGCAAGACCCTTGTAGCCCCCTGAACTACAGTGTCCCCTTCCCTACAGATTCTTCCCTCTGGGGGATGACCCAGTACAGCACTTAGTGGTCTGTGCATGAGGTGACTCTCAAAGTAAAATACAGGGACTTAGGATACTCTTTCCTTGCCATTGTCACACACTGGAGGCAACAGGTTAAAGTTCCAGAAGAATAATGTCACGATTAAGAGTTTATTTCTTACAAATCTGTTCATCAAGTTGTCTCTTCTAACAGCTCCTTCTTCTTTGTTTTTCTTTTCCTTTTGGACCTTGGGCGGTTTCTGATGGTACTCAGAGCGAAAAGAAGGAGCCCAAGCAGAGGATTCCCGGAGTCCACATGATACAAAGGACTGGCGGGGAGGACACCACCCGAATCCCGCTGCAGAACCCTGGGGAAAGCGAAGGCTTTTCCCAGACCCCAGCGCTGGACAAGATGACAGCCTGGAACCACCTAAGCGCCAAAGGACCCTGTCTGCTGCCCTAACCCTGCCCTGCCCAGACCCCATCCAGCCCTAAACCAGCCCCGTCCATCTCTGTGGCCATTGAGACCTCTCACCCACATACTGCTTGCTTCCTAGAGTTGCAGAGTGACGGACTATCCTTGGTGAACCTGACTGCTCCCCTGATGGGTCTCTGCAAGAGCCTGAGGCCAGGGGACCAGGTTGCTTTCTTACAGGAACAGGACCTTGCCTATGGAAGACTCTAACTGTAGAAGCACAAGAACAGTGTGATAGAACTACTCACACTCGATCTACTCACTTCTAAGGCTGATATGTGACTGAATTTGTTCCAGATATTGTTTACAGATTCAAAAGGTAACAAGGACACCCAAGGAAGAACGTGTCCCCAAACCCCGCAGAGAATCTGAAGAATGTTTGTATTTTCTCAATGCTAGTTCTTAATAGAAATATAAGAAAGGTCACCTACATGAAATGCAAGATCACATGACTTAAGTAGAGGGTCAAAGAAGCTCAGTATCATTCCATTGCAGTCTCCTTGGCTTTTATATGCGATCTCTTCTAACTGATTTAATTTCAGCTCTGTAGATTTCCATACCAGAGGCCATGGCATAGAGTAAAGCCTGTGGAGCCCGCAGCACACACCACAGTGCAGGATCTGCTACTCCATGCACTGCAGAGTGTACACTGCAGGGCTGCTGGCTCCCCACTTGGTTCCTAGACTGGGAAATTTTAAGACCTCTCCACTTGGCTGTGTCTCCCTTATTTGAAGTCTAATGGCCCCAAGTACCTCTCTGGTGTGTGCTTTCCTCTCCTCCATGGGTCCTCTTCACAGTCTCCATGAGATATTCCCAATTCCAACAGTATCCAAGTGCTCTGAAGTTCTCTTGCATAGGCTTGAGACTTACAGGTTCCAGTTTTGGGTTCTCCCACATCCTCAATCATCATTAGCAGTTTGATTAGTGCTGCCACTTGGGAGTAAGTGATAAGTGACTGTTGCCTTGTTTGTCCAGAAGTTTCTGTTATCATCAGTTGTAAATCTCTTTGCATAATTGTTAAGCATTTCAGTTTCTTCATGTATAGTCTGCCAGATGACACATCTCATCATGTTTTCTGTTTCCTATATTTTCTTAGTAAATTTCACGTATAATAGTCACGATACTAATCATTCACTGTTTCCCAATATTTTAAGTATTTTTACACAAGAATGTTTGTGTTTTTGTAGAGCATTAACTAATTGAGAAATTTTTCATTTAATGTAATAAAATCATTAATTTCTCCCTTCTGATGTGTGCTTATGAGATTTATTTCAAGAAATTCCCCCTTACTCCTAGTTTGCAAACAGTCTTTTATTATGGACTTGAGAATCTACCTTATGCTTTAGGCATCTACTGCATTAGGTTCACATTTTTGTTTAGGGCTAAGAATTAACTTTGCGTAGAAGAGACTAACGAGAAAAACATAAGTGAAGGAAGGTCTTTTTTCCTCTTCCATCTCAAGGTATGCTGGCCCATTGTCATGTCTGCATTCAGGGAGGGATTTTTCCTGACCATCTGCTCTCTGTGCCTCCTCAATGGTGTGTGCTGTCTCCGCGTCACTTGTTCAGCCCCTGGAGCCTGTCACAAATTCTCCATTATGGTTCCATGTCGCCCTTGTTCCTTTCGTTCCTGTGGACCTTTTTATTCTATGTCAACTATAGAAAGATGTTTACATCAGAACTGATTTTGTTTATTTATTTTATTTTTTGGGGGGGAGTATAGTAGTAAGTACAGATTTTCATGCCCTAGCAACCTCTTCACCCATTTATTTTTTAGTTGGTCATTTTTTACCAACGAACATTTTGCTACTTTTGAAAGACTGGGCTTTATTTTTAAAAATCTCTTCCAGTTCTTATTTGTCTTCTTCCTAATTTCTATTTTAAATATTATCACTTTTTTCCTCTTTGTTTTGCACAGTTTCATCTTCTTGAATGATTTATCCTCCTAATTTTATTTTCATGTTTCCTAAATGATACGTTATTGAGCAATGTGGTTATCAGGCAATGTTTTAAGCACTGTTAGTGAGTTACACTTAATGTAACTTTTATAAAGGACATGTTTGAAAGTCAATCTTGCTTTTATTAGCTTCTGTTAAATGCCCTGGTTTCCTCATGAGCCATCTCACTGTAATGTTTTCATACGTGCTGTACTGAGCAAAGGAGCTGAGGCATGTTCTTAAAGAGTTTGAGAGGGCATGTCCCAAGCTCTGCATTTTTGTGACTTTAGTCTGAATGGATAAAGCCTCAGGCAAGGGAAGGAGAGAATGATACAGTGCAGGATGGAAGTTTTTTGAACACTAACTGGGCAAAAATTCTATTGAAATAGTTTCTGGGAAAAAAAAAACCCCAAAACGTACATCACCAGGAGAAGACTGGGACCGGTTTGTCTGACATCCTGAGACTGGATTCTCGGCCAAGGCTTTCCGTTTTCTTCCTTTCTGGTCAGGACCTTCCCCTTATTTTTTGCTTCCCCCTTATGACCTCGGATGGTAACAATCAAGCCCTCAATATTTCAGCTAAAGGCTGAGCTCATAGATAAAAAAGGAAACTCATTTATTATCACAGTTGGTTTTTAAAGTAAAATTTTAAAAACTTACACCTTCAGAACAAAACACATCATAAAACATCCAGCTGTGACGACATAAGAAAGGCTTCCTTCTTTCTTAAGTCTCATTATTTCTCCATTTTGGAAAGGTCTGTTTTGCTCGGCATAGAGTTCCAGGTCTTATTACTTTATTCACATTGTATTTACTGTCTTAATGTTTGTATCATAGCCATTAAAATCTTTAATTTTTATATGTGTTGATCTGTGAAACATCAATTGTTACCCGCTACATTTATCAATGTTCTCTTCCTCCTACACACTTTGAGCTTAACTTCTCTTTTTTAGTTTACTTGGTATAAGATAAGTTCCTCATTTGAGATCAACTCATTCTGAGTTGCTATAGATGCCAATAGATATGAATTTCCTTCTTAATACTGTCATCACTTGAACTCATAAAGCTTTGCATGTTGTGCTTTCATATTCATTCGTGTCAAAGTATTTTCTAATTTTGTGAGTGATAGAACTGTGGGGGACCGGCAGCGGCTGAAAAGATAAGAAGTATGAAATATAAATGAACTTTATTTTGAGAATGCGGGGAGAGACACCCCGGATCCCCTGGGGCATGGCATCCCCGCCCAGGGTTGGTGATCTCTCCATGGAACACGTGGAGTGGGGGCATATATGTAGCTTAGGTTAGGGGTGGTGCCTGAGGGGGCATTAGGGATGCACAGGTAGCCCATTGGCACTAGTTTGGCGCCAGAGGTAGATTCCTAGGGGTGGGGGAGATAGAGCCCCTTGGCTTTACCGGCTACAGTGTCCTGTCTGGGCCAAAACTCTTTCAGTGAGGACTTTTTCTTTGGGGGTCATTGATGCTTTGATAGTATGTTGGGCTAAATCTGGTCCTGTCTCCATGTACTGATAAGTACAGAGTGGGTTAGACTATTCCTTTTCCCTTCGATTGTCTTTAAGCAATGTAAATAGGGCTGGCTGAGGTGCTAATAGGCAATCTTTGAAGCTAGTTGACTGTCACAGTTTCCCCTTCCTTTTACTCCCAAAACATTGTTGAGCTGGGCAAGATGAAGAACACAGCTGTCAACTGGGACTGAGCCTCAAGATAGAAGACTGCGACTTCCCAGGGCAAAAACGTTTGCAAATCAGAACTGAAGCACTAACCCAAAACATTAGCTGCTACCGCAGAGGGGTTACGCAGATTAGTCTTTCTGCATATCTTTCTCTGTGCATACTACAGAGGTGCTTTCAAGCCTTCTACCCAGCCCAGCTCACAGTATCCAGATATTTCCCGCCATTCTCACAGTCACTCATTCTGAAGCCATTCCCTTCTTCATGAATTAAAAAAAAAAAAAAAAAATCTTTGTTGGACCCTGGGGAGAAACCTTTCCCCCTGTCAACCATCATCCTGGCTGGACTGAGGACCCCTTGGTTCCCCCTAACTATAAATATGTCTTAGTGTCTTTCTTTTAACCATGGGTTGCACTGGAAGCGGTAGATTGGAATTAACTTATTGGAATTCCAGTAACTTTTCCATGGGCTTATAAATATGAACTTCCTGGACTGAGATGAGGACCAGCAAGGGCTTTCTCTATGTATTTGTTTTAGATCTCTGTCATCCTCTAGTTTATCGAATGTGTGCTCCTGTATATAGTTACAGGATTTTTAAAAATTTATTCTTCCCACATCTTGTTTTTAATACATCTGCATTTATTCTATTGGTAATAATACAAGATTTACATTTGCCATTTTGAGGTATATTCATTTCTGCTGTTATTTTTCTCCATTCCTGTTTTATTTTGCGTGAATATTTCTCTTGTGTATCATGCTGAGGTATTTCTTATTTCTTTTAGCAAACTCTTTGAGTTATTTTCCTAGGTGTTTCTTTGAAGGTTTCAAATAACATTTTACATAAACTGATTTGATTTAATGCTAATTCAATAATATCGGAAAATGGTAATTGTAGCAATGTCTATATCACTGCAATATGGTTCCACTCTACCTCTCTTCATTGTCCTATTATTGTCACACAAATTGTATTTTTATATACCACATGCCTAACTACTCATATTTATTATTTTAAAGATATTTCAAAAGATACAGCAGGAAAAAGAGTTATGAATAAAAAATAGATTTATGCTATCTTTCAATTTTGCTTAAGTAGCACACTTTCGTGGTGTCTTTATTTCTTCCAGTGGATACAGGTTCCTTTTTTTGTGTCCTTTTTTGTCAGCCTGGGCCATTTTTTGTAGTATTTCTTACAGAGCAAGATGGGCTCTGTTTTATTAACGTATTAATTTCTCCATGTTAGAAACAGTTTTTGTGGATGTAGAATTCTTGGATGACTTTTCTTTTGATAAATTTCAATATGTCATATGTGGTCCCTGACCTCCATGGTTTCTGATAAGTCATCTGTTAATCATCCCAAAGGTCTGTTATATATGAGTACTTGCCTTTCTTTCTTTCTTTCCTTCTTTCTTTCTTTCTTTCTTTCTTTCTTTCTTTCTTTCTTTCTTTCTTTTTCTCCCTTCATGATTCTTTTCATTTATTTATTGATTTTTTTATCTTTTTTTTTGTCTTTTTCCTTTTTATTGGTACCAGGGATCAAACTCACGACTGCCTGCTTGCAAGGCAGGCGCTTATGCTGCTGAACTAAATCCCCAGCCCCTATTGATTATTTTTGAGACAGGGCATTGATGTGTAGTTCAGGCTGACCTTGAGTTTACTATGTAGCTCAGGCTGGCCTCAAACTCATGGGGATCCTCCTGCCTCAGCCTCTTGAGTGCTGGACTTTAGGTGTGTTTCACCATGCCCAGAAATTCTTTGTCTTTTATTCACTGATCATGTTATGTATAGATAGAGATCTTTGAGTTTGTCCTACATGAAATTCACTGAACTTTGAATTTGGGAAGGTTTGAGCCATTATTTCTTCAAATATTCTTTTCCTCCTGTATTTACACTTTCTATGGAGCTTCCTTATGCATATACTAATCTAAGCTGACTCTATCCCCTCAGGCTCTTTTCCTTTCCCTTCATTCTCTCTGCTTTTGTTTCTCTCCCTGAAGAATCTCTGCTGACCTTTGTCCAAGTGCAGTGATCCTTTCTATGCTCTGTAACAATGATTACTGAAGCCTCTAGTAGATTTTCCTTTCACTAGTTAGCCTTTAATCCCCACACTGTTTATTTGAGTGAAGAACTTTATTAAGTAAATATTTTGGGCTTGGAATACAGAGACTGTTCAAGAAACTTAATAGCCTTTAGGTGCATTATAGCTGGTTCTGAGGCTATGCAAGGAAATTATCCACTCTAAACTTCAGCTCACCCTTAAAACAGGATTTAGTCAATATTCAACCGTCTCAGGGAAATTTAAAAGCTATATTTCATAGTTTTGTGACAATTAAGCATGAACTAAGCAAAGTCTTTAGTATCCTTAAGACTTTCTTAGGGGATGTGCTCTGCCAGGCCCATCATTCTGAGTCCTTCAAAACTGTCTCCTCCCATATTTTCATTCTTCATTCCTATGCCCTTCCTCCTGCTTCTATGTGGTTCTTATTCTGTTATGGTTTATCATCTGGAAAATTTGTTGACATGGTCACTTTGACTCTTCGATGTTACTAGGTCTCCTCATAGTTTTCATCCCCAGAAATTCAGTGCTTCTCATATTTCCATTTTCATCTTCTCCCAGTCCAAACCATCTCTGTATCTCACAGGGTGGAGTGAGGCAGCTCTGGGGAAAACCAATAGCCATCATGCACTCTGGAATTTTCTGGTACTGCTCACATTGCTAACCTTCCTAAATCATCACCACACATGAACATACAGTCCAGAACACACAGTCACACACCACTCATGCCACATCACATACATTACGCACACAGGTGTGACTACGCCTCCAAAGGTGTGCATGCAATGTGTTCACACAGTTAGTCTTTCATTTTCCACACAACACTGTGCCTGAAACTGCTGCAGACTTTTAGGATCATATAGCAAAGAGTACTGAAAAGGACTTATTCAAAGGAAAAGCAAAAATTAAGCATCAATAATCTGTATTCAGTGAAATATGCCATGAACTCTTTCAAGTTGGCAATCTTCTTTTTCCCAGTCAATAATAATTCTATCTTAGGTGGTGGCAGTTTTTGTGCTCTGGTTTGGCAACAGGGACCCTGCAACTGAGTGACCCAGGACATGGTTCATGACCAGACAATGCTTTGTTCTTCAGCATGCTGAGTGGAGTTTTGGCTGCAGGACCACAGGGACTTAGAACAATGGCACCCATTGCTGGGACATTAAGAACTTCTATTTCTTGTTTGGGTGGGTGACTCTATCTATTGAAAAGTATGTGAGTCCTGCAGAGATACCGTGAAGAGGGAAAGGAGACCCAGCACAGGACAGAGAGGAGAGGGAGGCTGGCTTGGAGGATGCTGTGATGCCAAAGAGCCCATGTGCGGCTTCCCCTCTCCACCCCATCACTGTGAGAAAACCGCAAGTCACCTAGAGGGGGCTAAAAACACCACAGGTCAGGAGGCTTGTGGACTCCAGGGGCGTTGAGGACAGAAGAGAAAGATCTCTCATCAGAGCTGTGAGCTGGCCCTCTCCAGGCCTCCTGCTCCTCCACCAGCTATGGTGGGGTTACAGGGAGTGCACTGGGTTATGTAGTCCTTGTGTTTGTTGCTAACTTACTATTTTTTAATTTTAATGTTTATTTTATATGTTTGCAATATATAGATTATCTTCCTAGTGGGGAATTGGTGCAGGTGCTAATATATGCTCCTTTTTTAAAAAGAATTACCATAACTTTTACCTAGTTTTATTAAAAATAATTTTTTTTTTTTGGTACTGGGGATCAAACTCATGACCTCATGCTTACAAACCAGGCGCTTATGCTACTGAGCTAAACCCCTGGCCCTTAAAAATAAATATGTTTTAAAGCTCTCATGTCTCTGGGGGAGACAGAAATGGAACAAGTCTGATAGAAGTCAAATAATCAGTGGTAAAGTGTCTTAGCTTGAGAAGATTAGGTTATAACCGAGAGAACAAGTGCCGGGTTGCCTGTTTCTTGCCTATAGTAGTGAGCAACAAGATCAGTTGGGGCAATAAGTAGCAGCATGGAAGCCCCGGGAGGTGCTCAAACAGACAGAGGAACTGAAACACCAGGAGAGCAGCAGCTTGCTTTAAGCAACACACAAATTCCTGAAAAGTTGGGGTACCTAAAACAACTGCAAATGGAGTAGGCGACTTGGTAACTGAACAATACTGTGCTAAGTTATTTTGTGAGCAATCATTTCCACTTTGGTTTTTAAGTGGAGCAGATCTCTCTGCTGTTTCTCTGAACTGAAACAGTAGCTCTAGGAGGACACAATTTCCAAGTGCGAGTTTTTATTAAGTAGATAAGGAAGAAAGGCAGGCAGGCAGCCATAAGGGTGGGGCTTTCACCTTTAACAATAATTTCAATCCATCAAGTACTTTGGAGAAGCTACATGGAGGGAAGCAAACTCTGGCCTTCCCCACACTGAGCGTACTAACAACATTTAGTCAATAATTAAAGAATAAGTGGTCCTTTTCAAACTTGACCTCCTTAAGGAAGTATACTTTGTAGGACTTACAAAATGGGCCTGAAAAATGGCCTAGCAGTGCCCAATGCTGATTCTTATCCAGTCACAATACTCTTCCGTTAAAGCCTGCTACACAGGCTGACTTGGGTTCATATAAAATAATAGCAGTACCATGACTTTTCAGATGGAAATGGTATTACTGATGTCTTCATATTGGATACCAAAATAAGGTAATTCTGACCATCTGTAAAAAGCACAAAAATTTGAGGATCAAGAAAATTATCGAGAGTCACACAGGTCACTGGTGCTGGTGCCAGGACTCACGGAGATGCCTTCTCAAGCAAGCCACGATTGCCCATCGAGCATCTGTCAGTTAGCCTTTAGGTCAAAAGCCCAAAATGGATAACTTTGCTGGACTTCTTAGAACTTACAAGAACAGCTTTCTTCCTTTGCACAGTAACTGCCTTGTCCAAACATTATAGCACTTTTTGCAGACTCAAAGGATCAAGGCTGAGTGGCTGACTCCATCTACCACATCCTGGGTTGTTCCATGCAATAAATGTCTCAGGTTTGTTATACTATCACAGAATATTTTCCTGTTCACACATTCCTTTCTCCTATTATATTTTTCCCAAAGAGATTGGTTTTGGGCTCTCAATATTTAAGTAATTCTGTATTAAACTCAAGTACAGTTTTATGAAAAAGAATTATAAAGGATATGGTAACTTTTGTACTCTGCAGAAACAGACACTCGAATACCATTCGGAGATGAATTCACATAATCCCAAGTTTCAGGATAAAACTTTGCTGAGCTGGCACCATCTGGGCAGATGATTTCTGATGCTAAAGTTGCTTGAAGAGACTGAGGAGTCCAAATGGGGACCCTACCAAATGTCTGCACATATGGAAGCCACATAAAACAGAGGAAGAGAGGTCCCCTTGCTATATCTCTCCTAAAGAACGAGTTATGAAGAATGTATTCATATTCCACATCATAAATTGGATGTCTTTGAGACCTCGAGCTAGTTTCTTCAGTCAGTCAAGTAATAGGCTCAGAACATTCTCCATCCATGTATTCTCCTCAGAAGGATTCCCAAACTCTGTGGAAGTAAGGTTGGCATTGCTTCATAGTTGATCCCATTTAAATGCATCATGTTCAATTCATGGCATTCAAATCTGCCCAAAATTCTTGTCCACTATACTTTATTCTCATCCTATCATTTTCTGGATTACATAAAAATCATGCCATGTACTCCTGAGTATCACTGGATAGATACACTGTGCCACTTTTAAATAGTTGTCCTCTTAATTTGCCAGTGATATGAAGAGACTTGGTGATACTTTAAATAATCCCTGCCACAAATGCAAGTCCTTGAGTGTCTCAGAGAAAGTCCAGGCCCGTTTCAATTTCACTTTCTTGGTGAATGTGGTTCTGTCATTAGTTTACCAGCACAAACAAGAGCTCAAGAGAAGCCTCCTCACTTTTATCCTGGAGAAACTAAGTGCTTAACTTACCACCTGTTCCATAATGTACTGGATTGTGAAACTACTGTCTTGGAAAATCCCTGGAACACAATGCATGACTTGTCCATGCAGTTAGGACTAGCAGGGAACAAAGATGCAATCTGAAATGGCCCTGCTGTAGTGTCCACCTCTGTGCCACCACTGGTTTTGGTGAACAGCCGTGATCCTGGGTAGGACCTGCTTGTCCTGGAGCGTCAGAGGAAGGATGATGGTTGCTTGGCTTTTGCCACATGACATTTGTTCCATCAGGGAGCAGGACAGACATTCAGATTTCTGCAGATGGACACACTGAATTGATTTCCTATAGGATCACGTAGGCTATTTGTCATTTGTACTCTGATCTCTAGATGTGAAAACCTCAAGTGAGCCAGATACTAGTAAAGTATTTAATATTGAACTCAAAGACCTCAGAGTTCTAGTTCTCAATCTCTTCTGATCCTGCTTTTTCTTAAGAGAGAGAGAGAAAGAGAGAGAAGCAAAAATAGATTTCAACAGGTCGATCTCTCGGAGAGCCTCATTTGGCTTTAACAGTCATCAGGAGAGGAAGACTGCACTGCACAGTCCGGGTAGTTCAGGTTCGATGATTCCCGTTTTTATTTTCCTGTGGTGGGTTCGCTTCAACTGCTCCTCAGAGCCTAAAACTTCAATAGGAAGCTGCGAGAATGGAAAACAGCAGCCACATAACAGGTGGGCAGGCACGTAGGGAGGAAGGGAGGCACCGGGCATTCAGCCCGACAAAGGGCATAAGTCCGCCACAGGACAGCTCACTTTTTCTTTTTCTGGTCTTTTCCGTTTTTATCGGTACCAGGGATCGAACTCACCACCGCCTGGTTACAAGGCAGGGGCTTATGCTGCTGAGATAAATCCCCAACTCCTAGGGCTCACTTTTAAAACGAGCCCAGGTAACACCTGGATTCCCTCGCTCTCAGGACTGGCTGAGCGCAGTCTCCTCACCGAGCCTCCTCATTGGCCCCGAGTCCGCGGCCCCGCCTCCCTCCGGAGTTTCTCTTTTCTCTCGTGGCGTAACTTATCGCCTAGGCTCCAAGACTGGACAGCCTGGGAAGGAACTAGCATCAAATAGGTCAGTGTGTTCCTAAAAACTCAGCTTCGGGTCCTGGGGGAGGAGGACGGAGTCCGGGTGGGTGTGAGAGTTGGTGGCGGTGGAGAAAGTGTTTGCTAACAGCAGGGCCCTGGCCTCTTCCTCAGGAAATGCCAGAAATCCTGTTCCTAGCTCTCACAGGGCTTTAAGCTTCCTGGTTCTGCAAGTCCTGGAAATAACCAGGCTTCTATATCCTTCCAGGCCTCTTTTCAGTTTTTTTTCTTAAGTTGAGAGAGGAGACTCAAAAAGAATAAGCTAGTTCTTTGGATCGCCTTGGTTATATTTGTCATCTTCCTTGTTGGGTCTCCGTTGCTCTTCATGGACCTTATTTCCTATAATGCATGGATTGGGAGTGGGGATCATGGTGGAGTCCAGTTTGATGGTCTACACAGATCCTCCATATTGCCCACAAAGTAAAAAGAGATCATTATGATGCTAATGGTTCTTGAGAACAAGAAGGAGTTACTCAGGACCTTCCTGCTCTGTGCCTCCTGCTGCAGCATGCAGCATCAAGCTCTGATGTAATGTTCTTTGGCCCAGTGGCCTATAAACACCAGCCACAAGGGGCTTTTGGGCAACTGAAATGTGTCTAGCAAGTTAGAGAAACTGGATTTTCAATTTTACTGAATATTTATTAAGTTAAATTTAAATGTCCACACGTGATGGTTTGTGTTGTATGGACAACACAGCTAGTCACTTATAAATTTTTTAAATTAAAAAGCCTTTCCTCATTCTAGAGTTAAGACTGCAGCATGAGTTGAGGGCAGTACAGGCTCAGTTCAGCTGTGTTTCCAAGCCTGTGGCAATTCTGTCAGGTTCATCTTCACCTCTAGATCCACATTGGAACTGCTTCGGCGAAGCCATGGACTCAGCCACTCCCATGGAGAAGATGCAGGAGATCGCTACCTGCTTCCTGTGCTCAAACTTGTTGGCTCATCCGGTGAGCCTCAACTGCGGACACAGCTTCTGCAACTTGTGTATGTGGATCTTCTGTACAAAGAAGCCATTGCCACAGCAGCTCCTGTGTCCTCAGTGTAAGTGCCCATTCTCCAAAAACAGTTGGAAGTATAATAAGCATCTAGCAAGAATCACTGAAGTCATAGAGGAGATGGAGAAGATGGAGAACAAAGTAGAATGTGAGACCCACAGGGAGGGGCTCCAGCTCTTCTGTGAAGATGACGGCCAGCTCATCTGCTGGCGTTGTGAGAGGGGACCACAGCACCAAGGGCATGCCACGGCGCTGGTGGAAGACGTGTGCCCAGGCTACAAGGTGAGTGAGACTGATCCTGTGCTGCTCCCAAGGTCTGAGGGTTTTAATTCTGAAACTAAGGTTAGAACCCTGAAACAAGGTTTTATCGTGGTGTTTTGAAAAATGATTTGTGATGGCTCTTTTCTGAGTCCAGTCCAAACTGTCCAAATTGACCCCATCCTGTCCTCATCCGAGTGTCACCATGGGCTGTTTCCTGCTCTCGGCCTTGTTCAGGCAAATACCTGTGTTGTATCTACTTCACTGTAAATAATTGGAAGAAATCACAGTGTGCAAGACTCTGCAGAAGCATTTGGAAATGAAGTGGAAGAGGACACATCACCTGGGGGGGTTCCTAGTGTCCAGTAGAGGCACAGATCAGCAAAGTGACTGCCTGGATACGTGGGGTTAGGTGTCAATAATGGCAGGAAGAGAGGGAGTGATACATCCCAGCTGTCACTCCTGAAGGACACATAAACTTAACCCCTGCACTGTTTCCAGGTAGAGGGACTGACACATGCAAAGGCACACCCACGGGGGCTCCTGCCTCTCTGTGACCAGGCCATGGGGCACATGCAGAAGACAAGAAGGTGAGGAAGAAGAAAAGAACCAGGACGCAAGACCTGAGAGTCAGCTCTGTGTGTAGACCCTAGACCACAGTGGTCCATGACTAGAAAATTTCACTTGGGGAGTGAAGGTCACTGACATTGAAATCATCATCCTCGCCTGCGAAAGCAAAGGGAATCTCAAAGAGTAAAATGTAGATTATCTCTGTGAGAAGGGGAATGAGAGGGCAGATGCAAACAAAATTCCGGAATAGTCAGAGATAACAACTGTGGAGGGTAAGTGGGAGATGGCTTCTTGGTGGCTCCTACGTGTCCCCTGAGAGCTTGGAAAGCTTGACCTAGGTGGTGGTGAAGCAAGGAGCCAGCTTAGTCCTGCTGCCCCAGTCCTCAGCCCTACTACAGATCAGAATTATGTGCGCATAGTAGGCTTCTGGTCCATTAAGACAGAGTTGGGCTCCTTGAGGGCTCCATGACCTTCCTAAGGTCACATCAGCCCTGACCATAGTTTAGGCATTCAGCACTCCTTTAGACTCCATGGAGCTACTAATTGTAATAGGGATGGTTTTGTTTGAGTTTCTCTCCCACCCAGCAGTAGGAAATGGAGCAGCACAGGGTCGTGGTTGTCAGCCTGAGGCAGGAAGCTGAGGATGAAATCTTAGTTTCTGATACTTACTAGATGCACATTTTGGAGCAAATTATTTAATGTCTTCATGGCTTGGTTTCCTCCATCTACAAGTGTACATAGCAGAAATTTTTCCTTTCATAACACATTTGAGTACGTTGAAATATGTAGACTTAAAACTGTGCATGGCATACAGGAAGACAATTCAGTCTTGCTAAATCAGGTAGTCTTAGCACTTTCCTGAGCATGCTAGGGCATTCATAAATGCACCTATTGGACTTAGGGAGGATAGGAGACAGCACTTTTATTTTTGAAGATGATGACTATTTCGTATCAGCTTCAAATTGAATTCAAGAAAAATATGGGAAACCATTTTTGAGAAACAACCTAAAACACTGACAAAGATACCAAAAGCTTTTCAACTTGGGTTTATTATTTTGTTCTTTAAACATACCAGAAGTGTCCTAAATGTATTAACTGTTTCTAAAACTTCAGATGGCATCTTCTTTCTTTTCTGCCTATAATGCCTGCCATGTTCCATGTGTATGTGACACTCTGGATTTGATTATGCTTTCTGCAGTACATTATTTTCTAAGATCTTGTTTCCCACATGGCCATCTTTGTGTCTAACTTTTCCTTGGTGACACTGTGCTAGTAGACCTGGTTGGCTATCATTGTGGTCCTGGTCAGTGCAGCTCCACTGCTCCCAGCTGTATACTACCTTGGCCAAGTTGCTCAATCCTACTGAGATTTTTTCTATAGGGCACAAATTGTGTTAAAATCCTATCACCATCCTGGGTACTGAGTAGATCCATGTCATCACCATGCAGTCCCCAACACTTTGTTCTCCAACAGAGTGAAAGAACTAAGTGAAGGGCAGATTCATCGTATTTGAATACTTCCTGGAGTACTGGGCTTTCTCTTAGGTGTCTAATGAGTAATTAAAGTCAATGAGCTTTCTTCACCCAATTTTCCCCTCAGGAAAAGCTCCAGAAAGCTGTGGCAAAATTGAGTGAACTCCATACAGAATGTATGAATCAGAAAGCATTTGTGGCAACACAGATGACTGAGTGGCGGGTAAGAATCTGAGGTCATTGGTCTCAAACTATTTTCCATTGTAGTGGTTAGGCATGGGGAATGATTAGGGCAAAGCACAAACCTGAAGAACAAAACAGTTGTTTTTTTGCTGTACTTCTTTATGCCCCTGAGATTCCATCATCAAATCTTTAACCTTCTGACACAAATGGACTAAGATCCCTGCTAGTGCATTCAGGAGAAGTTGAATCATCATGTTTATTTCCCCAAAGATAGGCTTGTTTGGATTTGGCGTTTTAATTGTTTCCTCTGGTGTGCAGACTTTAAACTTATCCCTTGTTTCATTTACCAAGTGCAAGGTCTGGCTTTCAGCCTTACAGGTGGAGAAGCTGCCTCTGAACATTCAAAAATCAGGTTTCCCCAAGGCAGACCAATAAAAGAACCAGCTTGCATGGTAAGGAGCATAGTAGCTGTTATAAGAGCCTGTGCCTTTCACCTGCAGACTGAAGGCTTATAGGTTTCTGTGGCTTCTCTGGGCTCTGCAGTTTCAGAGGCACATTCCTTGTGGGAGTATCTGTGGAATCCTTTAACTATCAGTTCAAGTCCACAGGCTGGTGAGCCATTCTGCCTCTTCCAGGGTCCTTCCCACCGTCTGTCTCTTTTGGGTATAAAGGGTTAATCAGAGCTTCCGGGGAATACTCTTTGCTTTCACATTGCTAGGACCTTGCACAAGGGGCAACACTGAGTATAACTAACACTTCATGAAAGCCTTTCAGTACAAATACAGGTACCTCTCCCACAAAACTTCTACTTCTTTCTAAGTTGATTGGATTCTATCACAACATCATAGTCTTTGAAATGCTGCAGATATTTCGAGAGCCCTCCTGAAAATTGCAGCTCTCCATCTAGTCAAATGAAAGTGAAGTCTAATGAGATACATCATGCATTTCTAGCATCTTATACATAGGGATAATAAAATAATCCCCAGTGGGTACATGAATATGTCTCAGTAAGCAGTAACACAAGCCTGCCTTGTTGGTGCCTCACACTGTCAAGAATCAGGGACTCTCCTTACCAGCCTGGGTGCTTAGAAAAAGGAAAGAAGTCAGGGTCAATCCCTCCAATACGTGAGTGCCAACAGAAAGCTGAGGACATTCTTTCAGCTTGAGTGACTTATGGGAGTATTATGTCACAGGAACAGATCATACTTTCTTTTTTGTGTGTGATAAAACAGACATAATATACACTTTTCCACTTTTACTGTTTTAAGTGTACAGCTCAGGGGCATTAATTCCTCTCCCATTGTTGCAAAACCATCACTATACTTACCTCCCAAAGTTTTTTTTTTTTCTTGCAAAATGAAACTCTGTCCCCACTAAACCTAAACTCTCATTCTCCATTGCTCCTAATTACCTGGTAACTACTCTCTTGTTTTCAATTTCTATGAATTTAATTATTGTATGTACTTCATGTAATGAGATCTACACTGTTTGTCCCCTTGTTTCAGACTCATTTTACTTAGCAGAAAGTCCTCTAGCTTCATCCTTGAAGGATGGGTCAGATTTCCATTCTTTTTAAGGTGGGGTAAGACTCCAGTATATATGCAGATCAAGTTTTGTTTACCCATTCATTCAGCACAAACGCTTCATTTATATGCACTTCTTACCATACTTTCTTGATTCTAGAATGACATAGATATTCAGAAACAAAAAATCAAGCTGGAGTTTGAGAATCTCCATAAGTTTCTATGTGAGGAGGAGCAGTCGTATCTCTGGAGGCTGGAGAAGGAAGAAGAACAGATGCTGAGGAGACTGAGGGAGAGTGAGGACAACCTGCAGCAGAAGAGCAATGAGCTCAAGAGCCACATCCTGGAAATGGAGGCAAAATGTCAGGGCTCAGCCCAGTACCTGCTGCAGGTGAGGCTGTGGCCTTGGGGAAGGAAAAGAGGATTCTGAGAAGTGTGGTGAGGAAGCAGAGAGAGATTGGCGTAACCTGCATCTACTCCCATGTGGACATTTGGAAGGAATTTAGATAATGCCTCCCTAAGATTATACATGAACCTCATCAGGGTGCTTCACTGGTCTATCTGAAATATGAACACATACTTTTCCACAGAATGGTGCTCCAGTTATATAATTCCAGGTACTGAGGAGGCTCAGGCTGGAGCAGCACAAATGTGAGGCTGACTTAGTGATTCTGAAATTAAAGTTTTAAAAATATTCCCAGAATTCTGGTCAGTAATGCAGCACTCTTCTAGGATGGGCAGGTCCTGGGTTGAATCTACAACATGAAAGAAAAATGGCTTTTCTAAGCAGATGAACATAGAGTGGCCAAAAATACTCATGGAATAGCTTTTGCTATTATAATCCCCATGACCCATGTGCAGGTCCTGACTGCCAGTCTCTCTACTGAAATACTCACCCAGCAATCAGGCAGTGACAGTGGGACAGCCAAAAGGAGCAATAATCTTTTGCTTGAGTTGCTGGTGGAGCCCTTGCACCTAGAGCTATTGTGGGGCTTACAGATGCATAAAGGATGCATCCCATTATGATGAACAGCAGGAACTGTTTATTCTGGCTTCCACTAGTGCAACTGAAGTCACACTCTAGGTTGAGAAGGTGGCACATCTGCACTGCCACCCTGTGATAACTGATGCCACCAATTTGGTGGTGCAGTGTTAGGAGCCACATATCCAGTCACCTTTGTATACCTTGTTGACAAATGATCTCTGCTCCCTCTGCAGGACATCAAGTCCTGAAAGCCAGTCTTACCAGAGGGAGCCTGAGTAAGTCTCTTGCTCACAGCCTAGCAGCCACAGGTTAATGCCACTGTGGCCACTGCTGTTCCCCACAGGCTTCCCCAGGGACATCACAGCCTCTTACTGAGTGGACAGAGACCAAGTAGGATAATCATTGCTCCTAACTCTGCAGCAGTGTCTCAGGCTGGGTCCCATTTTCCTCCTTGGGGAGTTGCTTTATATATATTTATAGACAGCTACTTCACATGCCACCACCCATGGAGTGCTGGTTCTGACACACTTATCTTTTGTTTTTGTTTCTTTGTAGGATGTAAAAGGTACCTTAAGCAGGTAAGTCCCATGTAAACACAGGAGGGTCCCAGTGGACAGAGCTAAATGGAGAGGACCACAGGGGAGTCTCTGCCTCTGCTTCTTCTAGGGCGTGTGCTGTGAAGCTGGAGGCTCCCGAGGTATTTTCCTTGGTGATTCAGACTGCAGGTGATGTTGCTGATCTTAACTTGGATGTGAAGACAATGTTAAGACGCCATCAAGGTATAAGAGAGAATTCAGGACTCCCTCAGTACTGTAGTAGGAGGAGCCATGTACAGTCACCATCATCCTGGGCAGCCTGGATTATAGATCCCATGAATATCTGTAGCAGAGCTGACTCACTCTGCCTGTCCTGTGTGCTCAGAGGATGAATGTACTACATCTTGCTCTCCTATAGAACCCTTAAGTTCCTACTGTGTGCTTTGGTGACCCTACTATCTGAGGCAATTCTGACCACTCAAATTCCACATCTGAGAAATGAAGGTATTCACAGTTTCTATTTCATGGAGCTGTGCTGAAAATGCACTGTGTTTACACACGTGAGCCTCTAGCACTTGTCTGGCAGGGATGAAGCCCGGGTCTGATGCTAGGTGGGACTCAGATGCTTCTTGTGAATATTTCAAATTCTGAGAGGAGTGCAAGAAAGGTGAGTGAGCATATTGGACTATTTTTAATATTAGGGATCTGATGCAGATAGCAATGGTGAATGTTAGAAGCGTAATAGTTACTAGGCTTTATTGATCCAAGCCAACACTTATGCCTTTCTTTGTTTGCTTTGGTTTTTTTTTTTTGTTGTTGTTGTTGTTGTTGTTTGAGATGGGGTCCTTCTATCTAGTTTAGACTGTCCTTGAGATCATTACGTAGCCAAGGCTGGCCTCTAACTCACAGCAATCCTCCTGCCTCAGCCTTCTGAGTGCTGGGATAACAGGCATGCACCACCATACTGGGATTACTATTCCTTTTTCTGTTAGTCACTTCTGCCTAAATCTCCAAACATTCATACACATAATTACCAAATTAAAAAAAATAGTGGTAATGGAAACTGTTATGTTTAATTTGGTTAGAAAATTTTACTTAATGTAAAATGATTTTTTGTCTGCATGAGTTATCTATTTTCATTTGCACATATTCAAAACTATCTAAAGCAATATAGATATATTACCTCACAGTCCCTGTGAGTCAGGAATCTGAACATAGCTCTGACCAGGCTGGTGAGCTGGAGTGGCAGGACTCTATTTAGGGTCTCCAGAGGCTGCAGTAAAGTCGTTTCCAGGCTGTATTCTCATCCTAACTCTTGCCTGGGGAAGATCCCCTCCCACACTCACCTAGGCTGCTGGCAGGATTCATTCCCCTTGGGTTGCAGTGTGTGGGGCCCCTGCTTCTTGCTGGCTGTGGCTACAGGCTGCCCTCAGCTGCCGGACCCTCTCATCAGCTCTTTGCACAGTGGACATACACATGATCAAGTGTTTTCTTCAACGGGAGCCAGGAAAGCGAATCTCCATAGCAAATATACTGGCAAGCTGTTCTATAAATAATGAACTATAATCACAAGAGTTACATTCTGTCATCTTTTTCATATTCTGCTGGTCAGAAGCAATGCTCTGGCCCTGCCCACACTTAAAAAGAAGGAATTTTACAAAGATGTGAACATCAATTGACTGATGGAAGCATTGGTCCCCTTGACTCTGTCTACCCCAGGGAACTCATCTGAACTGTACTGAAATGAGCGTGTTTCAAATCTTATTATACCATACACTTTTTTTGTTGCTGTTGTTGTCATTTTGAGATAGGGTTTTACTATGCAATTCAGGCTGAACTCACCACACCAGTCCTCCTGCCTCAGCCTCCCAAGTGCTGGGATTATAGGCATGCACCACCACACCTGGGCAATACCATGTGCTTTAAATATGCATCTTACTACAGAAATATTGATGCTTTTGGTCACAAGCTTCTTCCTAAGTCTCTTCAAGACCCCATGGGATTTAGAGAACAGCCCTTTGAAGAGTAAGTGCTGGTGTTTGGGATCCACATATTACAATGTGCGTAAGCCCTAGAAAAAGCTAATTTGTACCTCTTCATCCTCCACCATCAGCAACAAGACAACCATTGATCCATATAACCCTTGATTTTGTGTTTACAATTTGAAATTTTCTTATGATGGATTTGAAGTGGTTCCTAATTGTGTACTTATTTTCAATTTTTCTGGTTTCACTAATGAATTTGAGGGATTTTTCTTGTTTCATTTCTTATTTTTGTGTTTTCTTCATGCTTTTTATGTCTTTATTCATATTGAACTCTTTTTTTCTTCAAATCATAAACATTACACCAGCATTGCCAAAATCACAATGATAAAGTATCTTATACTAAGCATGTTCTGGGTTGTGAAATTTAAGCAGGAATTAAAAAACTTGAAATAAATTTCATAAAACTATGCATTATATTTACAATAGTATATGTATGTATATGGAGAAACAAAGAATATTGAAAATAGATTTTTAGTTGCTTTTTGTTTTTTGAGATGGTCTCGCTGTGACGTTTAGGCTGGCTTTGAGCTTACTATGCAGTCCAGGCTAGCCTCTAATATATGGCAATCTTTCTGTCTCAGCCTCCCAAGTGCTACAATTATAGGCATATGCCTGGCTTGAAAATAGATTGTTTTAATATTGTAAAACTACTGAAACATTTTCATTTCCATTGCTTTTAAAAGATTATTTTGAAAGGATATCTGAAGTGAATACAAGAATAGACAAAGATGCTGGGTACAGTGGCATGTACCTTTAATCCGGTGCTTTTTTATTTTTATGGAAAAAAGTAAAATAAAATTTCATAATAAAACAATAAGAGATTGTCTTGGTTACTTTTCTCTCATTGCTGGGACAAAATACCCAACTCAAAATGAAGGAAGGAAAGGTTTATTTAGCTCACAGTTTGTGGAGGTTTCAGTCCATAACCAGCTGGCTCCAAGGCAGGGTGGCATGGCACAGGGGCAATACTTGAAGGCAGCAGAAGACAGCAAAAAAGAGGGTAGAGCAAGCTTCTTTCCTCTTTTATGTTGTATGCAGGTCACCCCTGCCTCCCACATGAGCACCTGTAGCACTCACAAAATCTCTGTGCCCTCCTCCTGCACAGGATGAGGATATTTACAAAGTAAGGACCCTGACTACCTGCTGAGTCTCTGATTTAAACTTCTACACAGCTCAGGTTGACACAATGTATCAATCATAACAGAGATTAACAATAGTTAATACATCCCATATTGTTATCTTTAAAGTAGTTGATCAGAATACAAGATATGGGCATAAAGATTTCTCCAGTCAATATTGCACAAACCTTCCTTTTCAATGAACTGAGAGACACTAACAGTATAACTCACTTGCATTTTTTTTCCCTTTTCCCCACCCTTTCCCCTTTGACCCACCCTAGTTAACCTTGATTAATGTAGTTCAATAATTTTATTGCTTCTTTCTTTAGTGAGTTCTGGGAGATAATTGTAGCCAGTGTCTTCTCTTAGTATGTGAGTGCTATTCTCTTTCTTTCCTTTTCTTTCTTCCTCCTTCCTTCCTTTCTTGTACTTTCAAATTTAGAATAGACTTTTTTATTTTATATTGGTGACTTCTATTTTCTAAAAAATTTTCTAGTCATTAGTGAACATTAACTTTTATTCCTGAGTTGGATATATTTTCTGAAAGCATCCTCTGATTATTTTTCCATAATTTGATAATGTAGTGATTTTACCATTCACTTTCCAATGTTAAACTTCAATTGTCTTCTCAGAATAACCCAAATTGAAAAATACATATTACACATACCCTATGTATAACATGCCAATTTTATAAGTCAGTTTGAAGATGATACACAAATCATTATTGTTCTATAATCAACTACTCAGGGTTCCTGGAATAGTTACCATAAATGTAATTCACTGGACAGGAGGAATCTTGACATGATAAAAATAGGTAAGAAAAATTTAGCTACCAGCTACAGTCTGAGTGTATTGTGATCATGTATTTGTGCTGATGGTGCACTGTTGCTAGGTGGTTGGAGAGAATATACTTACAGATCAGACCTGTTCATGTAGAAAGTGATTTCATATATTCTATTAAAGTTCTATAAATACATCCATGTCCCTTTACTATCATCAGTGTTTCACCATTGTGTTGTGATGCTTGACTCTGACTAGTTGATAATGAAACCATCTCATCCACTTTTTATTTTATAAAGAAAGAAAGAAAAGTCAACCTCTAATAGTATATAATATACACATGGAACCAAAATTTTTTATATATATAAAATGTAATTATATAGAATATATGTTACATATTGAATAATGTATTAGTATATATTATATTATACTATATATATACATGTTATAGAAATTACATGTTTTGTTATGATAGCAGATACTATGTATTATAAATATCATATAATGAAAACTAATAAATAGATTGGCTTTTAATCTTTAACAGGTAATATGTATGTTGTACTAGAAGCATATTTCAAATGTATAAATGATGTCATACATAATACACATCAGATTGATATGTTATGTATATGATTTGTTATAGTGTTTTGCATTCAATTTCTTTTGTAATTTTTATTTTAATAGTACATGTTTGCAGTGCTAACAAGCATATTTACAGTTTCCCTTTCATTTTCAGGAGCATTGATTTTAGCTCTTCCCTGAAGTCATAATATAATTCAGTGATGAGTATATTGGACTTTTCTTTTCTTTTTGGTTTTTTTTTTTTTTTTTTTTTTGGTCTTTGTGAGACAGGGCTTCACTATGAAGTTCAGGCTGGCCTTGAATTCACGTTGTAGCCCAGGCTGGCCTCGAACACCCAGCAACCCTCTTGCCTTGGCCTCCTTAGTGCTGGTATCTAGCAGTACACCAACACATCTGGCCCTGGGCTTTTTTTAGTTGGTAGGTTTTCTATTACTGTCTCAATTTCATTACCTGTTATTGGATCACTCAGTGTATTTGTATCATCTTCATTCAGAATGGATAATTCACATGTATCTAGAAATCCTCCCATTTCTTCTAGATTCTCCAATTCATAGGAGTACAGGCTATCAACGTAGTTGCTAATAATCTTTTGGATTTTAGTGGTATTTGCTATAATTTTGCCTTTTGGTTTCTAATTGTATTGCTTTGGGTTTTGCCTTTCTTTTCTTTTCTTTTTTTTTTTTTTGTATGATTGCCTACATGCTTTACTATTTTGTTAATTCCTTTGACCAACTAGCTGTTCAATTGATTCTTTGTATTTTGTTTTTTATTGTTTACTTTTTTGTTTTCTTTATTCTCATTTTTTAGCTTCAATTTTATTTCTGCTTATTTGCTTCCTTAACTTTGGATTTGTATTTTCATGTTTTGTTTTTTCACAACTTTGAGATATATCATTAGGTTACTTATTTTGTTCATTATATTTTTCTGATGTGGGAATTCATAGCTATAAACTTCTCTTTTAGGACTGCTTCCTTTGTGTCCAATAGGTCCTGGTATCTTGTACTGGCATTATTGTTTAATTGTAGGAACTGGCTAAATTCTTTCTATGACTATTGATTATTCGAGTGTACTGTTTATACTCTTGCATAATATCCATGGTTTCTTTGTCCGTTGATTTCTAGTTTCATTGCACTATGACCTGATAGTATGCATGGGATCATTTGATCTATTTAAGTCTGGTTTATGGTCTAGAATTTGGTCTATTCTGGACAAAGATCCATGTGCTACTCAGAAGAATGTGTATTCTAAGTCCACTGTTCAAAGGTGTGGTGCAACTCTCATATTTCTTCGTACATTTTTTTGTCTAGTTGGATCTGTCTATTTGTGATAGTAGGGCATTAACATCCCCACCATAACTGTGTTTGTGTTTATCTGATGTTTTATGTTCAGTAGAGTTAGTTTTATGAAGCTAGGTGCACCCGTGTTCAGTGCATATGTCATTATAATTGTTGTCTCATCCCGTTGCTGATTTCTTCTTGCATGCATATGTTATGAAGTGGAGATGGGGAAAAGTTAATTGAACTGCACTGTTTCTGATCCCTGGTGATTTGCAGAAAGGAAGACAGAACAGATTCAGTCTGGTTACTTCCATATTCAGTCTGATTACTTCTAAACTTTGGCATCTATGAATGACTAAGTTGGTGATGGTGAAGATTGCTTTTTGATAATATTATTACTATTCCCTTCAAGGAAGCTACTAACTACTAGGAATTTTACTAAGTGGTGGGAAACATTAGATCACTAACTTCTCCCCATGAATCACTGAACCAGATATGATGATTTTCACTTAACTGTTTGCTTACATAGCTAGTTAGAGACAAGAATTGGATCCAAACACAGGAAGGCTTATTTAAAATACATTGTATTATGGCCACCATAAAAACTGTGAATTTTTGTTTATTTTATAGTCGGTGTGACACTGGATCCAAATACAGCTCATCCTAGCCTAACTCTGTCTAACGATCGGAGACAAGTGTTTTGTGCACACAGCCAGAGGAATCTTGAGTCTTCTTCCAGCAGATTCACTGCTTTCCCCTGCGTGCTGGGCTGTGAGAGCTTCCGCTCAGGAAGATACTTCTTCGAAGTGGATGTTGGAGAAGGAACAGCTTGGGATGTGGGAGTCTGTATGGAAAATGTGGAGCGGGGCCTCAACATGAAGCAGGTACCTGAGCTGGGATTCTGGGCCGTCCGACGGGGCACACAGAATGGCTATGTAGCACTCACCTCTCCGCACACTGCCCTTGAGCTGCGTGAGCGCCCCCTGGTGGTGGGGGTTGCTCTGGACTATGAGGCTGGAGCTGTGTCCTTCTACAACATGACCTCTGGCTCCCACATCTTCACCTTCCCCAAGGCTTCCTTCTCTGATACTCTGCGGCCCTATTTCCACGTTTATCAGCATTCGCCTTTGTGCCTGCCTCCTTATAGTAAGTGACGAAAACAGTAAAGTGTCTTTGGTTGTCCAGTACTGAAAATGTGTATAGCCTATCAGGGCAGAAGTTGGTAAGTTTTCTTCACTGCTCTTCCTTCAGATACACTGGATATCCATTAGCACCACTCCTGTTCTATATAGATTTGAAACTTTGACTGGAGCAATCAAGCAACAACAACAACAAAAATAGAAGGGATATGCATAGGAAAGGAAGAAGCCAAACAATCCTTATTCACAGATGACATGATTCTTTATATAGAAGGGCCAAAGTGTTCTACCAAAATACTCCTAGAATTAATAAACAAATTCAGCAATGGAGTAGTGTTATTAGGTGAAGTAGAGGCCAACAGTGCTTTCCAGGGTGTTATTGTCCCAAAGAATAAGTCAGCACAATCAGTGAATGTGAAAGATTACTGTTTACACCAGAAATAAGAAAAGGAAAGAAAGCAAAACGTAAATGCTCAAGGAGAAAAGCATGCTTTGAAGTGAAAAGAGAGGGTACAGCCTGCAAGCAAAATGGGCCACTGTAAGAGCAAGAAGGCAGTGGCCCGAAGTCAACTGCTGTTGTCTGTTTATATCTTCTTTGATAGTTGATTCAGGTGATTCCCACTTGATCTAAGGTAGAATATTGACATCGGGTGATAGATTTGGCATATTCTCACAACTGAGAATTGATACCAGGTTTCAGGCTTGGTGTGTTTTTGTGTCAGAGTTTTGATAATGGATGTCAGGTTTGGCTTGATCTTGTGTCAGGTTTGGGAGTTATTGCTCCACATTTGTGGTTAACAAGTCTCTTCAGATGACAGATTGCACTCAGTTACCAAAAAGAGATTTTTCTCATTCAAAGCAGAGAGAAGCTGGGAATTCAGGTGGACTGGAATAGAAAAGACAATTTTTAAGGTCTAAGACTGAAAAGCAATTTGTGTCCTCTGGGATCTGGGAGAGAATTATATATAGATGTGCAACAAGACAGTGAATTAGAGTTGCAGCCTCATTGATGAAGTGAAGTTCTTGTGCCATCCAATATTCTGAAGCTTTTACCAAGGGAAGAAAGGGGGTGGAGAAAACCATGTTTGAGAAAACTGTCTATGAGAGACTGAAGGCCTTTATGGACCTCTTCGTTGGTTGACTACTGTTTGAATATTATAATGAGGATGTTGAGGAGACCCTCCAGTGTGGTTACTTTCATCACTGGGAGGAGAGACCCATATCTTCCTGAGAAACAGGTAGAGATCTGAGGACAGGATCATCAAGATATCAATTTCCTCCTCCACCAGAGTGGGTTTTTCCAGCTACAAAAGTCTGAACACAGGGCATTTCACTTCACTTTCCATGATTTTTATAGAAATGGTCTAACTCTAAGATAGTATTATAACTTAAACTGTCTTCCTTTACCCATCTCTTGCCATTCCATAGTTGGTACTGGGACCAAACTGTATTACAATAGTAGATAAATTGTTCCTTTTTCATATTGTCAGGGTCCAAATGTTCCCACTGTTTTTGGATATGACCTAATATTGAGGTTAATGGGATTTGCGGGTGTTTCTCAGAATGTTTCTCACGGCATGTGTTGAAACCTATGGAGAGAGAGAACTAGGACTGGACTTTCCTTTTGAGGATGTCCCTTGCAGAGGGAAGTAGACCCATGAGTTCACAAAGTGTCCCCTGTGATACAGCGATTCTTCATTTAACAAATCATTTGTTTAATCACTGTTTGGACTTAAAACAGAGACATGAAGAAGCAGGAGGCCTCCAGAGGGCTAGATCACAGCTCGCATTTTGCAATGCAGCGATTCAGTATAACCTAGGAGGTGCTGTGGAAACAGATCCCCCAGACCACAGGACAAATGAACTCCCCATGCCATCAGCACACAGACTGTGCGCAGTAATGAGCCCAGAATATCTCTTCACAGGTTACACCTCATTTTCTTTACTGTGGATGTTTCTCTTTGAACTCAGGCTCAGTTCACCAAAGTTTATGTTCTCAAAAATAAAGAAAAATAAGAAAAATTCAAACTTCCAGCAAGGACAAAGCATCCATAGCAAGAGAGTGGCTGTTTAGTGATAGCTGTCAGCCACCTCATCTACTTCTTGTTGTTTGAAGGAGGAATTTGGTCATGTAACATGCTGTAGGGAATAGGAAAAAAAAAAGAGGATCAGATGAGTTTCCGGTCTGAGTCTCCAAGCTAGTTCTACCAGAACACCAACATAAATCCTCATAGCAAAGGAGCTCAGAGAATTTCCTAGGACTAATTACATGCCTACGCACGTTATAATGAAAGAATCAAAAGACAAAGACAAAGAACCTTGCAAGCAGAAAGAAGCAACTCCTTACACACGTGACCTTTAATATGATTAACAAATGACCTTTTATTAGAAACCATGGAGATCAGTAGGCTGTGAATGACATGCTCAAAATGTCAAAAGAAAAAGACAGTCTGCTAAGAATTGAATACACAAAAAACTCCTTGAAAACTAAAAGAGAAATTGAGACAGTCTCATAAAAATGATTGCATCCCTAGAATATCTGTTCTATAAGACATATTTTAAAAGTGTTCCAGGTTGCTATAGAACAGCGCTAAATAAGAACCTACATCCTGGTTCATTAGCAATATATTGAAAGGAAATGAATTTTAAGGGAGATATTAAGTGAATAGATAAAATGAAATCATTTATCTGTATAGGCCTGTGATTTGTAAACATAACATCTAATGAATATATATTTGACTGTCAAATGAAACTTGCTTATAACCATTATGTTAAGTGTAATTTATGAGAACTACTCATCGATATTGTCTAATAATCACAGAGCACAAGTTTTCCATATCTCTAAGTATGCATAACAATTGCTAATTTGTACATAGTATATCTGAGTGCAACTCTGATTCTGTTTGTTAGGTTTTGTGGTTCATTGTGTAATTGGGGTAACTGCCTGAGGATTTATGCTTATAATGTTTAAAACTTGAATAAACACAGAGGGTGTATGTGACAGACAATGGGAGAGAGGGAAGATCATAGCAGGGAGGAATTGAGCAAAAACTCTTGACATGGTTGTCAAGAAGCTTGTTTAAAAGGTGCCTTGTGACCAGCAAAGTAGAAGAAGTCATGGAAGAAGCCAAAGGCCACAGGAGACAGGTGGATGGCAAACATCTGAATGGGTAAGTTAAAAGGCAGTAGGGAGGATTGGGGTCCAGGGCACCCAAGAGGGCACACTAATTCTCCAATTAAAAAAACATAACTGGCCACAGGTGTCTTTCCAGAGTACAGCGCCATACTTTTTACTACCAAATAGGCAAGGTCCTGATCTCTGAGAGTAGGCTTACATGTATTGTATGTCTTAAATAATGGTCATTCATTCATTCAGAAATATGAATTGTGCATTTTCATGAGCTAATATCATGCAAGCTACAAAGACAAACATTCAAATCTATAAACCTTTATTTCTTCACCAATAAAGTGGAACTGTTAATCCTTGTCTTGGTCATTTTGAGCTCCATCCTTTCATTAGTTTCATGACTTTGATTAGTTTTTCTTTATGGTTCTGCCAGTTTCCAGTGGATGCTGCATCTCCAAGAGGCCCCACCAGTGCTGTTCCCTCTCTAGTTACTGCCTGCACCCTTCTGTGTTCTTTGCAGGGATGTCCTTCCCCATCATCCCTTGCTGCTTTCAAGATGCTCTGCCATCCTGACCTGACAAGTGTATAAGTGCTGTCTCCTTTCTTGCTCAGGATCGTGATGTGAAATTCCACAATCTCCATCTTAGTCATTCTCTTGTTGCTGAGATACAATACCTGACTTCGGAAACTTAGAAGAACAGATATTCAGTTAGGCTTCTAGTCTTTAGAGGGTTTAGTTCATACTCAGCCAAGAAGGCCATGGTGAAAGAGTCACCATGAAGGAGAACTGCACACATCATGGCAGGAGACAGAAAAGGGGGCAGCTGTGAAGAGGGATGCACCCTTCCAAGTGACACCTCCAGTGACCATTCTTTTTGGACCAAACCCCACATCCTAATAGCACACGAAGCCCCATTGACCCAATAACTTTCCAAAAGCTCTGGCTCTGAATGCATGATAAGTTTTTTGGGGGTCGGGGGGAAGGAGGTATATCTAAACCAAAATACCCTGAGTTCTGGGAGAATGAAACTAATATTTCAAGTGAGAGTTACAGATGGGCATTTGTAAAAAGACCTGACTCCCAATTCAATGGAGGAGGCTGTTTTCCAGTAGTGATTCATTTATCCTGGAATGCTGCTGTCTCCAGCATGTGGCTGACAGCTGTGTTCTAACCTCAGGAGTCCGAGGAAACAACGGCATGGAGAATTGGAAGAGGTGGGCTTTTTCCTATTCACAACGGAGTCAGAGAGTCACAGCATTGCTGAGTAAAGATAGGCAGTGGCCATGTTCGAAGTTCAAAGAAGAATGGGGCCATGAAAGGCATATGATAACCTCTGACAGGGGTGCTCCTCGACTACCACTCTTCCTGCTGTGTTCCAGGGTGTCTATCCCTGCACTGGGTGGGTTGGAGTTAGGACAACAGTGAACCAGTGCAGCATCCTGAGCATAGAAGCCATTGGTGAGATGATGCTGAAATCACATGATTCTGATGGTTATGAGTAATGTCAGTAAAATAATGTAATAACATAATTTTTGGTTTTGTTTTAAATCAGCTTTACAGAATTGTAGTTTCTACACAATAAACCTGACAAAATTTAAGTATGCAATTTGGTGAATTTTGACATATGTACATGTTTCCAACACTCTAATGATGACAAAGAATATTTTAATATTATGAATGCTTCCTTGTACTTTTCTGAAATCAATTCAGTAAAACATTCATAAATAGACATGTATTCATGGTTGGAATCCATGTCATGGAATTTTAAGGCATTGATACTCTCCAAATTTATAAACAACTTTGGTAGATGCCAATAAAAACTAAAAACTAAAGCTGAATTTTTTTCAGAGACATTGACTGTGTGATTTTAACTGGATATTAAAAATCAAGGACCAACAATGATAAAGAAATCTTTAGGGAAAAGAAAAGGTACAGGGATTTATATTATTCCATTTCAGGCATTGTTATACAGCAATAGTAATCAAGACAGTATTTCATAATGTATTGGTTTAAGAATAACCACAAATATAAGTGGAGCAGAGTAGAGAATCAGAAATATACAAACATTTATAATTAACTGATTTTGAAAAGCTGATAAGGCTTTCAATAGAGAAGGAAAGTCTTTTCAACAAATATTCCTCAGACAACTAAATATTCTTAAGGGTGAAACAAAAACATCAATCCTGTCCTGCATACAAAAGTTGATGGAAAAATGCATTACAGAATTATCTGTAGCACTAGAATTAAAAACTTCTAAAATGAGTCAGGGAAAATATCAAATAAACTGAGATAGGTAAAGATTTCTCTTAAGATCCACCACGGGGATAGGGAATGGTAAAGCATCTGCCTTTTATATGTGATGTCTTTGAATGTATCCATAGCTCAAGAAAAGGGAGGGGGAGACATTACCCAGAAACTAGAAAACAATAAACTGGTTGTCAACAAAATAAGATCTCTTATTGAGCAACAGTTTAGAATGTGGAAATCAGAATCTGAAAAGGTTATATAATTCTTGGACTCTTCCTAGATTTTGTGGTATTGTTTTCTTTTCATGCTATGCCCTCGAATGTGAAACATTTTCTCTGTTGTCAGTGTATTTCATAGACTCAGCTGTGGAACCTTCAGGGTAGAAGAAAATCTTTCCTAACCTATACTTTTCTCTTGATAATCTATTTAATTAAGAGATGCAAACAGCTATATTAAGAAAGTTAAGATTTCTCTCCCTCATATCAGCAAAAATAGTAAGCTACAAAGAAGCATTTGAAAAACATATTATCTGTACAAATGATTATATTTGTATAGAAACATATTATGAAAGCTATAAAAAGTCAGGATAGTTTAGTATGGGAATAACAATGAAATTCATCACATTAACAAACTAGAAATCATATTTGGAAAAACTTTAATATATCATTCAGGAAAGATGAAAAATTAGAATTAGGCGATGTAATCTTTCAATTTGTTTAAAGGGAAAATGAGGAAAAAGAATAAGAAATAATAGCGTTTAAGTTTGATATTAAATGAGAGTATGTTTTTAGAGGCAATAGTCCTGGGGCTTTAATAATCCTTTTTCTCTTAGTTTTAGTTTTATCACTATAAATGGCCTAATCAATTACAATTGTTCCTTGGGAATATCAAATTTATTCTTAAATAAATTCTGAAAAAGATTTTGTTTATTCACTGCAGGCTCTCGAATCTTTGTTTTTTGTAGTTAACACCCACAGAGTTGGTCCAATGGGAATCAAAATGGGAAAGAGAGAGAAGAATGTGGGTTATAGGATGGGATTTCTGACCATTTAATGTCAATTTTGAGACCATGTACTTTATATTGGGACCACACTGTGTTACAGAATCAATTTTTAAAAATCGTTCTCTTTCGAATTGTTCTGATGTTGGAAAGTACACTTAAAAAGTGCTGTTTTGAGAGATAGACACTGAATTATCAATAATCTTGTACAATGCATGCATCTCCAACACTTTTGTTGTGTACTTCCAAGACTTTTGTTGTGTACTCCAAAATCTGGGATCACATGTGTTTACAGCACTAATCAACATCCCTATGTGTTTCCTCTGGGTCTGAGAATATTGGTCAGACCCAATTTTCCTGAAGTCAGGAAATTTTCCCAGGGTTGAATAATGTATTTTACCCTAATTTTTCAGCATCATTCAGTATTATTCCCTTCATTAATCAGATGAACAGATGTCTCTGCCTCTGGCATGCAGCTGCTGCCAAGTGTTCCTGGAGCATCCAACAGTACACAAATTCACTTGCACTTTACACAGTAAGCTAGAGGGATAGAAAGAAAGTGTTGTACTGAAATGCTAAAAACTAAGATAGTTAGTTAAAAAGATAGTTATTAGCAAAAATAGTTAAAAGGATAGTTATTAACAGTATTATCGTTCTGTGCTGTGCTCGTTACCCTAGTACGCACCAACCTGATTAACTGACTGCATCATCATGCTGTTCTGTATGTCGTTCCCCAAGTAACCTGTTTGCTGTGTCAACCTTTGTTCCTTTTGTAAGAGACAAATGATGCTGTGTCAACCATTGTTCCCTTTGTGAGAGACAAATGTTCTTGGAATTGGCAGACCAAGGACTATGAATTGGCTAACCACCCACTGTGAAATGCCTCTGACCTCAAGCAAAGGGGAACAAAGGCCCACTTTGTTTCTGTTTCTCATGACTATGTACTTAATGATCAATGAGCTAATCATAAATGAACTATAAAAATCTCAAAATTCTAACCCAAGTTGCACAGCTTTGCAAACGCCATCTGCACTGTGCCACTGGGTACCAGCTTAAATAAAGCGCTTATTTACAGATGTCTTGCCCCCCCCCCATTGTGATTAGTATTTGGGGCCTTGTTTTGGGGTACAACAGAAAGAAAGAAGGAAAGAAAGAAAGAAAGAAAGAAAGAAAGAAAGAAAGAAAGAAAGAAAGAAAGAACCACAACCAAAGATCTGCTTTTGTTTGTTTTTCAAAAGTCACCTCCAAGACTTTTGTGTCTGGATACCTGCATCTTCACTAAAGATCTCAACAAGAGTCTGTACAGTTAAAAAAGTACATGCCCGGACATCTTTCTCATTAATTGCAAAGCATATATTGGTTTAGGGAGAAGAATACATGAGGCAATATTATTGCAAGAGTGTTGTGGGAAGCAGAGAACAGAGCAAGCCACAGTAATTTGTGCTATTTCTATTCATCTTTTCTGAGGCTTGCACCATTTTGGTAACTAGTAGCCAGCTATTGAAGGCTTCATTTCCCAGTGGTGGCTGGGTGGGGCCTGTGATGCTGCAGAGACGTCTTAGTGCCCCCACATGTAAGCCTGGGCAGCAGCCACAGTGGCCAAACTGTAGACTCACAGCCATGACTGCTTCAGATTCATCCGTTTGAAGTTGTTCCTCTCTCTACACCCATGAAGTGCATTTTATCCTGCTCAAAGAGAGACAAAGGGAAGAACAGGAGTTTAGCTAGGTTCTCATTCACAGATAACAAAAATGGGAGAGATTTCACTTGACCCTCATTTTATGTACTTCCATTAGCTCACTTAGTCCTCTTTCTCTCTACAAAGTTGCAAATAAGATGAGCGAACAGTTAAAAGAAAAGTATTTGTCAAAACTTAGTAGATTTGGTGTCTCCATTTACCTCCTAACTGGTAGTGAAAGGATGTTATCAGATGGAGTTAAGGACATTCTCCAAACAGGAAGTCAGCTCAACCCACTACATAGGCTCTTGATTCTTGTCACAGAAAATAACTTCTGGATGCATCAATGAGGAGAATGGAAAATTTGTGAGGAAAATTAATGTGCACACTCAGAGAAAGCAGATTGTGCCTTTAGGAGAGAGGTAGAG